ATACTGGAGACAGAAGAGAGATTTTTGTTGTGGCTAAAAAAGGAAGAGTGATTAAAAAATTACAATATTGTTAAGAATGAAAAATATTTAAAATAAAGTCAATTGTTGCTGAATATCAGGGCAGTAGTAAATCGGGAAATATGGTGTAGGATTGTGTTGGATTTCAAAATCCTTTTTTCTTTGGATATTACTGCCCTTTTTAAGCATTTATTCACTGGTGGTGGGTGATGTGTATTCTGTATATGAGGGCAATGACAATTTTGTTTCATCTTTAATTGTATCAGAACATGTGAAAGACCTTTTTCTTACCTCTGGCAGGTGCCTTTATGTTTAGCATTCCTATTTTCCCCACTGCAGCCCTTTTTTGTACCAGACTGTTTGTAGCTATTGTGGCCAAAAAGTCAACTCCAAATGTGAAGTTTAGGTCACACTTTCATTCTGATTTGCCACCCTGTGAATGAGCAAATTTCAGTAGGGTTGCTTCCTCTGACACTGGCACTGCAGTTGTACTTGCCTGGAAGCCTGAAGCACTTTTTATTTCCATTATTCCATGTTTAATGGAACTTAAGTAGACTAATCCTTTCCCCCCAAAGCATGCACCTGCTTGGCTGTAAATCTGACTTAAACTTGTTAGGACATACTAAAAAAAAATCCAAGGGAAAAGATTGTTGAAATCAGCACAGCAGTTTGCAGCAATAAATTACTTTTGTCTCTTATCCTCCTTTAAACTGTTCTCCAATACATTTTTCTCAGGGAGTTGAGATAAGCACATTATGTGGGAATACAAAATGAGTAAGTCAGGGGAAGCAAATATGTTACAAGCAACATACACCAAAGTGACTCACTTCAGGTATCATATTTTGGGTTTGGATTGTTACCAAATAAAAAGTATATAGGATTTTAGCAGTGTTGACACTTGAATTCTTAATCCTGGTGTCAGTCCAAGTGTTTGCCTTGTTGATCTTTCTTCATTTTTATTGCTGTAACATTGTGACCATGAATTATTGGAGATAAATACAGACTTCATGAAATTTTATCATTGCCAGAGCATCTGGTCTGCAGTATGGGGTGTAAATGATGTAGTGCACACAGGTTGAGCAGGAGCACCTTAAAGGCTTTGTTGAGCTTGAGAAAGAGATCAAGGGTTGCTGCTCTGATTTCTTGTTTGACCACTTGAGTTTTTGGGGTGGCTTTTTTGAAACCAGATTTGTGTGACAAGTTTATATTAATCAATTTTTTCTTACAAACTAGGTAAAATTAAGGTGTATTAAATAGCATCCTACAGAGTTTTTTACTGGTTTGGCCTTTGGAGAGTTCCCATTCTGAACAATTAAATTGCAGAGGAGATTATGTCAGTGATGCTTGATCTGCTTGAAAAGGATGTATGTTTATATATCTGTGTATATATAGACAGATGTATTCTTCAGCTTCTCCAGGTATTGCACAGTTACTTAAATTTCCAAGCCATAGGAGGTGCAGCCAAAGGTCTGCACACACTGCCAGGGAGTGTGATAAGCTCACAGATAACAGGATTCCCAAGCCCCACAGGGAAGGCTTCATCCTCCCTCTTAACATACTTCTGAATTTGTAGTCAGCAGAAAAAACCTGTTAGGTTTTGTTAGATTGTTAAGAGTTCAGTTTTTGTGCCTTTGTATGTATATAGGCTTTGTGCTCTTGAAGATGGAGCCTTTGTTTGTCTAACCCAGAAAATATTCTCATTTCTCTCGTTTAATTATATTAACAAGATGGAGCCTTTGTTTGTCTAACCCAGAAAATATTCTCATTTCTCTCATTTAATTATATTAAAAATAATAATAATAATAAAAGTTATAATTGAGCAAACACAAAAGGCTTCTTGGAAAACTATTCAATTGCCTTGTGACAGTGCATTTAATTACCATTAAATTATCTCTTATGTCTCTTCCACTTAATATTTGCTCAGACTTTTTCCTTAGGAGGTTGTGCTGAACCTCCTGTGAAATTCTTATCTAATCTCTGCACAGGCATTAGTTCATGCATTGATCTGATGCCATCTCAAAGAGAATAGTCAAGCAAAATTAAAGGTGATAAGAGAAATTCTCATTGGTATTCTGGGAGTAGAAATTGAATCTGCTTTTTTTTTTTTTCCTTGCTGAAATTGAAAGAAGAATGTGTGCAGGCAGGTTTATGGAAAAAGGGAGAAAAACAAGCACCTTTGGCTATCCATAGCAGGACACTGTTAAATGCAGACCACTGGATTCTCACCACAGGTTTTCTGAAGGGTATAATATTTTTATAACTCACAACATTTAAACACTAAAATAAGTAGGTGTACATAATGTAAAATACTTCTTTTTCCCCTTCCATTTTGTTGGAATGGGGGATGGTCTTTTACATTTCCTTAGTCAAAATCTGATGTCTGTAGTTACAGAGTCAAGCTGGGAACGTGACTGGAATTTGTGAAAGCTCACAAGCTGCAGGGCAAGAGGAGATAAACCCCAAATTTTAAATATTTGGATAATGTTGCTTATTTATTTATGGAATAGGAGGCTAGCAGCATTTTAAAATCATGCTTGCATGAAACTGAAGATGCTCTTAAGCTGTTTAGTTTAACAAATCAAGCCCTGGGATCCACAAAGCAAAGAGCTGTGAAGATAAATGGGATCCACATTTGATCATAATACACTGGGCCTTAAATTAGCATTTTCCTGTGAGTGGAGGTTTTGTGTGTCAGGACTGAAAAACCATTTTGCTACAGCCAGTTCTTCTTGGTGTCTGAATACTTCAAGTAACAGGAGGATAACGGCTTTGAAATTTCCTGGTGATGCAAAATTGTTGAAGTGGTTCAAAAAATTGAATCTGTAGTTTCAGGGGGAAAAACCAAAAGTTTAATGAAATAGAAGTGATCAGTCAATGGGTATTTGATTTGGGTGGATTTAGGGCAGGTCAGCCAAAGGATTTTGTGAACAGGTTCACTTGGTAGGTGAAGTAGTTTAGGCTGTACATGAAGGTAAATTCTCAGAAAAGGGCACGGGAATTTCTGGAATTTGGGTATCCATATACAATCTGACCCCATGTTCAACACTTTTTTTTCATTTTGAGGTATCCCCAGGTAGACCTGAGGGTGAGGAGGGCTGTGCTTTTGGTCACCACCCACGTGTGTTTGCAGAGGTCATTTTTGGCAGTTCTTGGAGCCTGAAGCTCCATTCCTGATTCACCTGCGCGGAGCTCCTGTCTGACAGTTTTAGTGCAGGAGCAGTTCAAAGTCCTTTCTCATCAGTAGAGATCCTGGTGTAATTTATTGCATTTTGCTGTTTATAGGATCACAGAACCATTTAGGTTGTAAAAGACTTGGAATATTAACCACTAGCCCAGCACTGCCACGTCCACAGCTGAACCACGTCCCCAAGGGCTGCAGCCACACTTTGAATGGCTCCAGAGATGGTGATTCCACCACTTTCCTGCAGAGTCTGTTTCCAATCCCTGACCACCCTTTCAGTGGAGAAATCATCCTAATATCCAATCTAAATCCAATTATTGAAAGTTGTGAGCATAATGAAGAGGAGTGTTATTAATTCATATTGTGTATACTATTACTATGGGAATACAGAATTATTATTTCCATATGTGTGTACAAATAGCACACTACATGATGCTGAAGGGCAATTATTCTCTATTATATCTCATCAGTATTTGTAGGAATTGAATTGAGAAGAGTTAAAAGCTCATTATTTTGTCATATTGAGTGTCTGTATGAATTCAAATGTAAGAAGCTTTTTTCTCATGTTTCAGCTATTGTAATAATTTTCTCACTTGCACAGTTTGTCATATTTCTTCTTTCACATCTTTCAATAACAAATTAAAACTTTTCGTGCAATTCAGGTCCAGGATGTTTTTAGGGATTTGTCTGTAGTTTGGAGCTGGAGCAGCTGCCACAGTGGTGCTGAGGGAATGCTGAAGTGGATGCTCATGTGTTCCAAGGAGAATGCAGAGTGGAGAACACCTCCAGCTGTTGGATCCACTGCTGTACTTCCTTACTCCCAATTCATGCATTTCATAGCAGTAGTAGTTTGAACTAGTTTTTCTTACAACTTGTCACCTCTCACCAAACCCACTTGGTGAAGTGTGTTGCTTTCATAGTGCATCATCTCTTCTTTGATCCACAAGTCAGTCATGTGGATTTCTGTAGGATTTCAGGACTTGCTGCAACTTCAAGATCTCAGTAGCAACTTGATGTTTTCATAAGAGAAAGACAGGAGTTGTTAAGTAAAAGCTGTTGAGATTTCTTACTGGTGCAAGATTTGCAGAGTGAAGTTCTTGGGAGCTGGTTCTGTTCTCTCTTACTGCCTGAATTTTGTTGTTGTTGTTGTTGTTAGTTACTGTATAAATTTCTTACTCCAATGTGGTGAAAGTATTATCTAAAAAATAGGGTTCTGCCTACATCCATGCTGGTAAATAGAACAAGATGAACATTTGAAGTGTTTCCTACTGTAGATGGTCACCACCCAGTTTCACTCTTGGTTCTTCTTGCTAGTTCAGCATTATTTTATGCCAATGTGCAGTACAGTTTGTACATTCTTCTCTCTTTACTTCTGTTTTTATTTTCACTGTAATTCCTAGGCATTTATCAGTTTCACTTGCATGCTTACATCTGCCTAGACAATTAAATCTTGTTGACCAGGATGGTTCAAGAACACAACCTGCCTTCTCCCAGCTGGAATGCAGGTGTAGCCCTCTGCTCAGTCCCTCTGAATTTTGATTATATTTAATAAAACATAGGCAATATTGACATACACAAGAAATTTTTCAATCAAGTTCATTGTGGTCAAAATGTGTTTCTTACCCAAGTGCAGCTCATTTGTGGAGAATATGAACACAAATTCCTTTTTCTCTTCCTGGATTGTGAATTGTCATTCCAGAAAATTAAGATATATTCATTTGAAAGTTGTTGGGGAGTATTTTAGTCTGTGTTGGCACTGAACTGATCTTTCTGTGATGCCTACCTGCTTCTTTTGCTGTAGGTGAAAAATGACTATATGTTAGAAATAGCAGATCAAGTGGACCAGGAAATTGCTTTGAAACTAGGTTGCCTTGAAATCCGGTAAGCTGATAATTTAATTTATTATTCAACATCTTTCTGACAGGATATATACATTAATTTTGAAACTGCTTAAAGTTCATCAATTTCTGACCAGTAGAGTTGAATAAAACATCATAAGACCTTTTTTTTGCTACAAAGCAGTTTGAAGAAAAACTGAATAGACTGTATTGTAACTCATTTCTAGTGGTTTTTAAATTAACATTATTTTAAAATTTTAATTAATTACATCTTGATACTGCCTTTTGGGTGAATTATTCTTCTGAATAATTCAAAGGCCTGTAGAGTACATTGAAGTATGTTTAAAAAAAAAAGCATCTGTGGTGTTATTTAGTAAATAGTCTTATGATTCTGCATATATAAATCCTGCAGCTAAAGAATGTAATTATAGATAAATGCTGCTACCTTTCCTCTCTGTATTTACTCAGTTTTTCATGTGCTGTTTTGAAATTATTAAATCTTAAGGATCCTTTTGGGTGTTTTTGGTGTTCTTGTCAACTGTATAGACAGCTGGAAAATAAAGATAAATATATCAGATTAAGAGATCCTTGAGAGAGTTCCAGCTTTGAAATGCATGTGTTGGGTTTTGCTAATTTATGGAGAATTTCCAGCCTGAAACATTTGCTTTAGTTATGCTGATGTCTCACACAGGGAGATTAGGGAAGTAAAATTGATAAGAAATTAATGACAAATGTAAACTTGTTAGGAGAGAATAAAAGTGTCCTTTGAACAGTACTTTCCAAATTAAAACAAAATTTAGGTTTATGACATTTCCCAGGTATCACAGGAGAACCTGATGCCTTTGTTGTAAGTTTTGGTGGTAGCCCCAGAGAAAACAAAAATTCTTTGTGTAACTGCAAACTCCTTATGCACTTACAAAATCATTGTGCCTTATTTCAAAACATGTGATCAATGCAATAATCTGTGATTATGTTGTCAGCCAGGTCCTGCCTTCCCTGCTTCTCAAGCTGTGGCTCTTCTGAGCATTTTGATATTTCTTGTAGATGAACTTCTGAAACTCTTAGAATGAACATTTCTGGTCCATTTTTCTTCTGTGACAACGATAATCTCAGCCCTCTCCTAACAGAGCTTTCCTATTTATTCATTTACTTGTTAATGTGAGCATGGCTGGATTGAAGCAGTTTTCATCATTCCCTGCTTCCCCTGGTTCTCCCTGTTCATGCACAGAGGGCTCTGAGGAGGAAGTGCAATGTGAGGTGGAAAGGAGCTGCTGAAGGCCAGGTCACTTTTGGTAGCAGCAGTGGTTTAAAGTGGATCTGAAAATGCAGTTAATTTGTAAAATAAAAATCTGATCTGTTGAGGTGGAGTAATAATATACTTCATACTTACCTTTGAATTCATTCTGCCAGTGTTTTCTGATGCCGAGTGGAAGTTTTGATTATGTTGATGTTGTAGTTTTAGGCTGAATTATCCAATAATTGTTGCTTTCAAATATTTTTCCTGACTTCAGGAGATCCTACGGAGAGATGAGAGGCAATGCATTAGAAAAGAAGTCCAACTATGAAGTGTTAGAGTAAGTATTGTGTTCTAGCTTGAGGTTTGAACTGTTCCTTCTCTGCAGCAGGAACAAGAAATTCAGTTCACTGACTGAACATCTCTGTTGTAAGTTTTCTGTTCCATCAAGGTTGTTACGATGCTTTAATGTAAGAAAAGGATGATGAAACCCATAGAGATGTAGAAGTAGGAAAAGTGCATTTAACTCTGCTCCAGAGAAACAGGTTTGGAGTAGTTTAAACTTGATCAGGAATCTCACTGTGGTTTTCAGCAATTTTGGTAATGTTTATGGGATTCACCAACTCTGGTTGTGAGGTGATTTTGTTCCTCAGTGTTTTTCTGTGCCCAGTTGCATTCTTCAGCTGTGACTCATTTGTGGTAAAGTTTAAGTTACTTGAAAATGTTTGTGGTATTGTTTTTGTTTCTGTTTGCTCACTGTGGGCATTTTCTGAGATGTGACCTTGCAATTAACAAGGTTATTGTTTGTCTGAGTATCCCAAATTTTAAGAAGACCAAGGAGCATCCTTGTAATGAAATATTTTGTTTACTCATTCGTGTTGTACAGGAGATGGCTTCAGTTCAAACAAGCCAAAGTCCTTCAGCTTTTTAGCAAAAACCTGAAAACTTGTTTTATTTGTATTTATATAATGGATAACGTTTCAGACATACATGCACCAATGATATGCTCATCTCTACTAATTACCCTTGTGAAAAGATCCTGTACAGTTTGACACAAAATTGGGATAAAAGGTTGTTGCAGCAGTGAAGTCTCAATTTTTTAATCTTATTTCTAATAACAAATGGGTGCTAACTTATAGAGATGTGAAATTAGAGCATTTGGAGGAGGCAGGTAAGATTTTATACAACAATGAATAAGTTTACAAGGATTTTTGAGGGATCTATGATATTTGATGAATAGTCTGCTTATTTAGTATTTCTGTAGTGCTCCTTTATTTATTCAGATTTTTTAAAACTCTGGTTTTGTTTGAATTAGGGATTTTTTAAATTTATTTTTTTAAGGACTTCAGATTTTTGTCTGTAGAAACATTAGTAGAAATATCCTGGTTGAGGAAACATTAGTAGAAATATCCTGGTTGAGGCAACATATCACAAAATGAGAAAAGACTAATAAAAATAAAGGGGATGAGCAGATAGACAAGACTAAAAGGGTATCTAAAAAAAGATTTGAAAGTATGTGAGTTGTGGTCGGTGTAGTTTACATACATATGTTCAAGTAAGAACCTGAGTAAAGTGTTTTAAAGTCAGTTTTTTAGCAAGTCAGAAGCTACAGGCATTAGTAATTAGGTTAATGACTTTGGAAACAATGAGACAAAGGAAAGCAAGGTCATAACAGGTCACACAAAGTATAAATTAATAACTGTAGCAGGTGAGAGTTCCAGGGGGATTCAGTGTGGTGCTGCTTCCAGTTTAACAGTGATTTCTTTCCTTCAGTCTGTGTTTTCCAAACAGTGACTGCTTTGGTAGGAAATAATAAATTGCTGCTGTGAAAGGCATAGTGAAGCAAAACCCTGATATGCAAAATGTAACAGCTTAATGCATGTAGAATTGGATATGGAGAATTGTGCATTTCAAAAGTTTTTTTTCTTTTTTGAGAACCAAGATTTGATTTGTATGGGATTTAGCTGGGAGAGATGAAGGATAAAACCACCTTAAACTGACTATACTATAGATAATTACAAGCTGGAAAGGGTCTGCAAAAAGTGCCAGTGATCCCCAAAATGCATTAATTTGATCTTACCACCTTAATAGCCCATAAATGTTTAACTGCACAAGTAATATTTATTGCTCAAGTGAGGCTTTTTGGTGTTTTTGTGGGGGGATTGCTGGATTTAGTACATCATGAGGCACTTAACCAGCTGAGAGCAATTTTTAAATGGCCCTTTTTTTGCATTGGGTGTGATTGCTCCTTGCCTGCCTTTGTCAGATGTCTATTTGATGTATATTTGTCTTTGATCAGATTGTCTTATGAGAACAGATCTGGATGGGACATGGTAGATGGGATCAAATTGTTAAGTAGCCTTTAATAGTTGGGCCTTCGTGGAGTGAAAGAAGAATTTCTTCATAATAAATGGTGAAGCCTGTTAATGAGAACAGGGATAATTACAAGTACAGAAATGGGAGCTGTAGGAAGGAACAGGTGCAGTCACAATTTGGTAAAAGGCATGTTAAAGTCTATTATGTTAATCTAATGTTACTTTTTTTGTCGTAACTTGAATTGAGGTGAAAAATACATAATACGTGCTGCCTAAAGCTGCTTATCATTATAAAACAAGCAGTATCACTTATCTGTGGTTGGTGTTTTATTAATCCAATTGAAGTTTGTACATTAAAAAAATTTAATTCAGATTTAAGCCCAGGAATAGGCTGGAGTAGGATGAGGTTAAGTACAAAGCTGTAGTAGAACTGTGAGAAGCAGGCTCTCAGGGCCAGTTATCTCTTGTTGGCAATCAGAAACCAGAGGGCTGAGTCCTTCATCCAGAGCCTGAGTTGGTGTCTCCCTTGTTGGCCATCCCACCCCCACGCAGCACAGCTGGGAAGGAGTTTGTAGGGTTGTGTGTGTAAAACTGTTCATATGTTCAAATTTCCAGTGCTTATTCTCTTATTTATAGGTATCCATAAGTTGTTGCTGGCCAGGGCATTAAATCTGTGTGGTTCTTTTGTTAAATTCTCCTCCAGTAAATAAATTTGCTGTCTCACCTAAACACAGGAAATGCTTTATTAACAAGTTTTGTTAAGAGTTGTGCTCTGTTGTACTCTGCATAAGAATTTCTTCTCAGTTTGTTGCACCCAGATCTGTACAAAAGGCTGCTCTACAGCTTGTCCTAGTAATGAATCAAATGAGGCTGTGGCAGCCGTGTGCTGCAGGACTGTTAAAATGAGGGGTACAGGGTGATGGGAGGTGCTTCATTTCAGAAGCACCAACTCTCTCTGAAATGCTTAATGTTAAACTAATAGATCCCTGTCAAAATGCCTTTGCATATTATTTAGATGGTAATAGTGTGTTAGATTCATTTAACTGTGTGGGATGATAAACCAAGTATCATTTGCATTTGAGAAGAAATGCATGGAAGGAATTAACATTTATGAAGTTTTATAATCCTGCAGCTTACTGTCATTGCACAGATGCCAGTGCTGCACATGAACATTCTGCTCCTCCTGGTTGAGGATGTTTTTAGTATAAAATTGTATGCTACTCATCTTTAGAGAGCTTTAAAAATACCCTGGTTTATTCTTCTGAGTGAGCTTTTTATATTGACTTTAGTGTTGGTTTTGTTCTGGTGCCGTTAGGTAGCAGTAAATAAATCCTGAATATCTTTGCCTGTTAACAACTTCTCCTTGCTTTGCCAAGTGTCAGAATTCCAGATGTATTTCTGTGGATATTCAAAGCATGCACTCATGGAAAGCTTGCTTTCCTACTTGTTCCAGAAGCAGATAAGAATGTTTGAAAGAGATGGTAATGTCCTGAATTTAAAGGAAAATGTCAGTAACACCTTTGAGCTATAAATCCTTTTCCTTTTATATTTTTCTCTTGTTTTTCCTTTTTTATGTGCAAATTTTTTTCACTTGGTTGTACACTGGTGTCTTGTGCACTAATGTCACTAGCAACTTCTCAAGCACCTTTTTTTGAAGCTGATGTTCAGTAGTAGTGACACAAACACATGTCAGAAATAAGCTTGTGCAGCACATCAGGGCATAGAATTATTTACTGGCTCTGGTTTTCAAACCAGGGCTACAACCCAATTTATAGGTGTGAACATGAGCTTGATAAATTCAGTTTGCAAAATCTGAGCTCACAGTCACCTGATTTACAGTGGCAAAAAGTGAGACTGCTTGCAAGAAAAAGTAGGTAATTTTACTTTGCTCAGTATGAGTATAAAATAATAGTAGAAATTTAAACAACCCCTTAATTACAGTGCTTCAAAGGGTAAAACAGGAGTGGAATTGCGCTCAGCATGCTTAGTGAGGTGATACCATGAGTATTCCTTTATGGATTCCTGGATTCCTTAGGCCAAGCTGGGGCTCTGAGCAACCTGGTCTAGTGGAATGTGTCCCTGCCCATAGCAACTGGATGGTCATTAAGGTCCCTTCAAACCAAACCATTCTAGAATTCTTTTTATATTTTCTGCTTCATTCTAATAGAGGTTTATGAGGGTATTCCACTTCTATGTTGTCCCCTTCTCACCTGATGACATACTCTAAGAATATATTTTCTATATTCTTAGAATTATTAAAACATGTTCAAATAACAGTTTTTATTCTCAAAATTCCTCTACGCCCATGCCACCATTTCAAACAACAGACTTTCCACACAGGTACCTGGTCAAATGCAATATCCTTTGAGGTTTAAACTAGAAGATGCTGCTGTGCCACATTTGATGTTGGAGTGCCTCTAGTTAGAATTTTAATGGTAGTCTATTACTCTGAGATTTTCAAGGACCTTGTTAGGAAAATGGTTTAGTAATCGTATATGCTAGTTAAAAACAAACCAAAAAATAGAGCCAAAGCACCGCCTTGAAAAGAGAAATGTGATACTGCACAGTGTTTTTGGTATTAATGCTGTGTGTATTTTTTCTTTCAGGAAAGATGTTGGTTTGAGACGGTTTTTCCCGAAGAGTTTACTAGATTCAGTGAAGGTAATTACAGTCCCAGTCAATCCTATAGTGCTGTAAAGTGTCAGAAATCTGAGGGAATTGCTGTGCAGTTTTGCTTTGTGAAAAAAACATCCAAGCTGTCCATTGGATTGCTGGGGTCTGAATCCCAGTCATGCAGCTGGCAGGACAAGGATAAAGTGATTCACACGGCCTTGCTGAGCTGCTGTGAGAGGAGCACAGCTCGGCCTCTCAAACCTTGGGGGTAAAAGTGCAAAACAAGTCCTTGGTGCCTCTTGTATCAAATATCTTTTTTTTTTCCTTCTCTAAAAGAAAAATGAGACTTCTGGAAAAAGAGGAAGGGAACATGTTAGAAAAAAGAATATTTTACTGGGAACTTGATAAACTTGATGCCTTCCTTGCTCAAGACTGTATCCAACTTATTCAAGGAAGATTTCCAGTAATTTCTGCTTAGGTTAATCCTAACTATGACTATAAATGTTCCTTGAATCTCGCTCCCATTGAAGTCCATATGTTCTCAGAGTAAAAAATGCAAATTTTTCTCAATGTGAGTTGAAAAGGGGGATTAAGAATGGTCACCAAGTATTTTACATTTATAGCCACCTCAATATGAATGTCCTGGTAAATTGTCTCCTACAATTCATACATGAAAGTATAAATCATAAATTGCTCTTTTGGAGCTGGTTTTGGTAAGCAGTGGAGCTTTATAGAAATAATAGAATTCAACTTGAGATTTGGAAAGAACCTGCATTGTAATTTAAATGGGTAAACACAAAAGGTCTGTCATGACAAGGTTTTGTTTCAAAAGACTTTTGAAAATCAGAAGCTAATGAAGTCAAGTGGATTTAAGTAATCCCCTCTGCATTTTAATTTAAGCAATTATCTGAAACTGTATTTTCTGCTAACGGGGAAAAATTGTGGTGAAAGGCTCCAGACGTAAAAGTATGAATAACTGTCTCAAAAATAATATTATGGAGCCAGAAAACTGACTGACCAAGAAAACTGCACTTTGGAAATCCTGAAGTGGGGAGAATAGCAGAAAGGAGTAGCAAGAGTTGCCAGAAGGTGAAGCTGAGTGGGAACCTTATAAAGACATGAAGAAAAAATGTTGGACATATGAAAAAGAAAAACAAGGGAAGGAGAAGTGTGTCTGCTTTTCAATGAAAATAAATTCCTATTCAAAGTAGTACAGGATTGGTACAAATCTTTAAATTGCTCTTCCACTTTGTGAAAACAGGGCAATTGAAATGGCAGGCAAGGGAGGGTTCCCAGTAGCTGTGAAATATAAAATTAATTATTTCTCTCAGTTCTCTCTGCTTTGAACAAACACAGAGGGGGAGCAAAACAATGGTTATTAGAAATACTTTTAAGAGCAAGTTTTCAGTGCATTTCATTTGAAGTTGCTATTTGCAGATATTTCTGATAGTTGCTTCTGTTATGGTAGAGGTGTGGTTTTTGGGGCTGTTCAGCCTGGAGAAGAGAAGAAAACTGGGGAAACCTGAGAGCTCCTTCCAGTGCCTAAAGGGGCTGGAAGAGAGCTGGGGAGGGACTTGGGACAAGGGATGGAGTGACAGGACAGAGGGAATGCTTCACACTGAGAGAGAGTGGGGCTGGATGGGATATTGGGAAGAAATTCTTCCCTATGGGGGTGGTGAGGTCCTGGCACAGGTTGCCCAAAGGAGCTGTGGCTGCTCGAGTCCTGGAATTGTCCAAGGCCAGGTTGGACAGGGCTTGGAGCAGCCTGGGACAGTGGAAGGTGTCCCTGCTCATTGCAGGGGGTGGAACAAGATGGGCTTTAAAGATCCTTCTGATCCAAACCAGCCTGTGACTCTAAGGGACTTTCTATCTTTACACTTTGCTCATGATCTTAAAATTTGAAGTGATCAGTTCTTCTTGGTGGATTGAAAAGAGCCAGATAACATATGCCAGCATTCCTGGCAGGAAATGTGATGCTGGAATTGGTCAGGAAAACAACCCATGGGCAGAATGAAGTATCTTTCATCAACTGAGTGGCTGAAAAACTTGGGACACCTTTAGCTGGCAAATGCTTTTTTATTTTGTTGTGTCTTTGCTCCTGGTATTTGATAAGCTAAGGCTGAGGTTTGCACTTGCCTTGAAGCTGGTTTTCTCTGTAAAAATAAAGATAACAGGGAGGTCCAGTGTAGAGTGGCTGAGTCCTTACAAAGCCTGAGGCAGCTCTGGGTGCTCCAGGGAAGTTTCCTGACTGCCAAAGGCTCTGCAGCCTCCTTAAGGATCCACCTGAGAGCTGGTTCTGCTAAATTGACAAACGAATTTGAAATTACACCAAAGTTACAGATTTCTTTGTTAATTTGACAGTATAGTATGTGCTGAGAGGGTTTTTTTTCCAGCCTGTGTATGCATCATTGCAAAACGGATCATTTTGTGAATATGCAGCACCCTTGGATTACTGTTGCTGGAGTAACTCATAACCACTCCACAGAAACATTTCTGGCTATTTTGACTTCTGAAAGTTCTGTGAAGGCTTTCTAAAATGAGCGTCTAATCTGCCTGGAAGTGCTAACGACCAAAGGAAGTTGGTGTTTGTGTAGTGCCTGGGGCTGTTAACAGGCAGTGTGGGAGAATAAAGAGTTTTACTGCTGTTAAAATGGGACATTCAGATGTGTTTGCATGGAGGAACAGTGGTAATTCCTGTCTTAACCTTGACATAGTGCAAAGATAAGCATGGTTGTGCTTTCTGTCATTGTTGGTAGTTGGAAGATGTATTAGAAATGGGGTTTTAAGGCCATTCAGTCACTTTAGACAGATGTTTTAATTCACAATTCCTGATGGCTTGTTCAGATTGGGGGCATCTTAGAGATACTGCTTCTCAGGCCCTGTTTTTATTTTCATATGAGTGGCTGCCTTTAAGGGATTATACATTATGTACTGTAGGTACATAATTAATTACTGTAGGTAATTAATTTTTTTCAAGTGTTAGTTTAACTATCCTTTGTGCTGCTCTATGTGGTTATTTGTACCCTGATAACAGGTAATAAAGTGCTAGACAACATAGTCAATATAGGTTAATTTAAATGTTTGGTTTACTTTTTGCATTCAGTCTACTACTTAAATTTCATCTTTTTATACTGAAGTTTTTTTGCTTATTATCAGACTGAAAGAATCCACTTTATTATGGATAGTCTAAGTTATTGTGTGCAGAGATTAGGCTAGAGCTGCAGTTGCCTTGTTATTGGCAGGCAAGAGAGAGAATGGTGGTTTAGGTTTAGAAGCTTATATGAATGTATAAATTATTCAGTGTTTTTTTGTATTGGGACACAGTTCAGGAGTTGAGAGAAATGAGGAACTTATAACAAATATTCTTGGAAGGGTTAACATGTGGTCTAACTTATTTAAAATGTTATTACATATCCTCTCTGTGATATAGCAGAAGTAATGTTAGTTAAAAGGCAGAACTGCTGCTTATTTTGAAGCTTTTTTTATTCCTTGAGAATTGTCTGCTTTTCGTTGATAAAGACACTGTTAGTACTACTAAGTGACCAAAAATCTTAAAATATCCCTCAGCTATTAGATTTTAAATAATTATTCTCCAAATATTCTCTTTAATACACAGGCCAAAACACTACGGAAATTAATCCAGCAAACATTTCGACAATTTGCCAACCTCAATAGAGAAGAAAGCATTTTGAAGTTCTTTGAGATCCTCTCTCCAGTGTACAGATTTGACAAGGAATGCTTCAAGTGTGCTCTTGGTGTAAGTAGAGGAATGTGACAGTCATTAGAATCCATTCTGGAGTTTTAAGTCCAAATGCTTTTGCTCGGTTCTGCAATAATTTTTTATTATGCTTACATCCTTTTTTGTATAGAGACAATTGGATTTCATTAGCAACAAATGGTATTTATTGATTTTATTTAGAACTTTATCCATTGACTCTTTAAAAAAAATCATAATTCGTTACTTGGGTAAGAATTGTATGTAAAATAAAATATTTTTATAGGTGTTTTGTTTGTGAAAGTCAAGTACTTATACAGCTGTTTCCACAAGGAAATGAAACTTCTCAACTTCTGTTAGTAAATTTTCACCTAATACCTGTTAATCTCTACCTATTTCAAGCAAATTTTGAAGAAGGGCCCCAAGTTTGGAAGTTTTGTGAAAATGGAGACTCCAACATAAATTAGAACTTGAATATCAATGTTCATGAGAAGAGGAAATACAGGAAATCCATAGTTCTCATGTAGACCTAAGATAAAGTACATGGAAATGCAATTTGAGTAGCAGAGATCCCCAGGAAAGCAGTCATGAGGGGTTTTGCCACTTTCAGAAGTACTTGATTTTAATATAATTTTGTTTGAAGAGTTGAAAAGCTTCTAGATATTATATACTAGAACGTGTAATTACCACATTGGATTATAGTATTCCATAGCAAGGCTTTGTCTTACTACTGAAATTCTGCCCTTTTTCCTTTGACTCCCAAGTCAAGCTGGATTATTTCAGTGGAACTGGCAATTGGCCCAGAAGAAGGAATCAGTTACCTGACAGACAAGGGTGCAAATGTAAGTCTGCTTCTGCTTTGTGGGTTTTTTCCTCAGTCACTGTGTTAACAACCATGACCTGTTGTGAGCTGGATGTCACAGAAAGAGGAGTGACCAGTCTGATCTCTGGGGTAAACACAGCAGAGCTGGGAGTCTCAGCATGTACAGCTCCTAGTCAGATATTAATTTGTGAATTAGGATCACAAGAAAAGGCACTGGTGTCAGGTACAAAGACTGTGTCAGCTTTAGCACTGAATTTGCTGGCTATTCTACCCGGTGAAGTGCTCACTTGCAGAATTTGAAGCATTGGTGGGGACTTTTTATCAATGAAACATGAATTATTCTGAGTTGTTCTCATTCTTAGGAATGTGTAAAATGCAGAGCTTTTTTAACCAGTTGGTGAGCACATCTGTGCAGGCACTGCTTATTTACTTTCTTCATATCCTCCACAGCCTTTTCCTTACTTGATACCAGCTGTATTTCAGTATTTCCTGTGCCACCCCCATGGTGCAAGGGAGCTCTGTCCTTGACAGATCCTTCAGCAAAATGTTTGGGAACTTCACAGTCACAACTTAAGCTGAGCCCATGTCCAGTTTTCTATTGAAATGAATTCAAAAGCAGTGAAAAGATGGGGAAATCAGGAACCCAGAGCTAAGAACAAACCTCTTCCAGCAGTCTGGAGTGATGCTGGGAAAGTGTCAGCACGGGTTCCATGTGGTTTTAACCTGTTGAGTTTTCTCTGTTGACACCCGGGGGTTGTTCCCACTTCAGCGTGTGCCTGGTGCTGCTCAACAGTGACCTCTGTGGGCACAGTGCGGCTGGGCTGCTTTTCCAGCCCCTCTGTGTGTTGGGAGTGAGTGTTTCTTTCTCTAGAAAGAAAGAGAGAACAGATTTCTGCACATGTAGTTTGGGGATCAAAGTCTTTCTATGATATTGCAACAGCAGGGATCAAGGCAGGCTGTTTTGCTGTAGTTTTGATTTTTTTTTTTTTTTTTTTTTTTAATTTTTTTTTTTGGTGTTTTCTTTCTGCAGCCAACCCATCTAGCAGATTTCAATCAAGTGCAAACCATTCAGTATTCAAACAGTGAAGATAAGGACAGAAAAGGGATGCTGCAACTCAAGATAGCTGGTGCCCCTGAGGTATGTTTTTGATATTGTATATGGTGATAAACTTTCTACTTTGTTTTTCCTTGCAAGGAGTGGGGTGTAGCATACTCCTAATGTGGATATTCTCTATATTGTACTTTTGTTCTGGGTTTGGATTTAAAATAAATTTAAAGTTCATTCATGTTTTGCATTTTGTATCTGGTGCTTGTAGATTTTTATATTCATAGAAGAAGCTTCTTATGAAAACAGTAGCTCTTAAATGCAATTTAATAGCAGCCTGTGCATATGTACTGTATCCTAGAGAGGAAACAGAGCAATTCCACTTTTATGTAAGGAGGAAGTATGAAAGAAGGAAAATTTGTTCCCTTGTATTACATGGAAGCATCGCTGGATGTGAAATCAAATCTTTTCCTTGGTCCAGTGCACCAGAAAACAGTGGAAGAGCAGGATTGAGGGAGGGTGGAAGATCTGTGCAGAGAATGATGAATGTTGGTGATATTGAAATTAACAGCTTGCCTGTATGTCTCTTATCTCTTCTTCCACTGTACATATTTTATTTTTTTTAATCTTTCTTGAAATTGGGAAGGGCTGTTTTTAGGCAAAGAACAAATTGCTGCAGAGGGTGGGAAAAAGATACCACCTGTAAGAGCTTTAAGAAATAAGCAACTTCTTCAGAATTGTCTTAATTATAAACCTGAAAGTCACAGCAGTTGTATTCAACAATGGTTTACACTTCATAAGCCCAAATTAACACTACATTAGGTGGAGGGTTTTATCAGCTGTGCTTTCTGAACCTCCTGTTTGAAATTTTCTGCACAAAAGTTAAATCAGGAATCTCCCTGCTCACCCACAATCTTCTGTTTACGCTTTGCAGGCGTGTGTAAAGTTCTGATGCAATGACACAGCTGTTCCACTCAGTGTTTGCAACTGCAATAATTCCTCTTTGTTGGTGCCTTGTTTTTTTTCCCTTCTGTAGCCTCTGACAGTGACAGCACCGTCCTTAACCATTGCAGAGAACATGGCAGACCTGATCGACGGCTACTGCCGCCTGGTCAACGGGGCCACGCAGTCCTTCATCATCAGGCCTCAGAAAGGTAAGGACACCTCCATCCTCACAACTGCTCATAGGTCATTCTGCACTTTAATACGAGGCAGCAGAAAAACCCTCACTTGGAGGCTCTTTTCTTTCAGGGAGGAGCCATGAGAAACGCTGATAGTAAATTGTCACTGCATCAAAAATTGCTTAGTGGCTGAGAATTTAGGCTGATGTCAGCATCACTGCTTTACACTAATTCCAAACTTAACTGGCAGAAGTGAATTGTAATTATTAAAGTTACTCCTAACAAGGGTGTGTTATCTTATAACATGATTCCCAGTATACAAGGGGAAATTCAGTGAGGTTGGTTAGGGTGCATTTGGATAAGTAGTAATTTTTTAGTTTCTGCCTTTTTCCTACATACTCAGATATCTCCATTTAAAAAATAAAACCTCGAGCGGTCTCATGAGTTTATCTCATAAAATAGAATTAAAGCAGAGATACATTTTGTAGTGGCTATCAGTTGTTTTTGTAGCATCTCTCAAGAAGTGAGATGAGATTGCAGGTACTCCTTGTTTTTAGAGAGAATTTGATTCTCTAATTCTTATGAAATTAGAATTTCATTAGAATTTTTTCCAGTTTCAGACAGCTTTAATTATTGAAAAACATTCAAGCAAAGCTGTTTAAGAATGAAATTTTTTTCTTTCATGTTGCTCTCATCTTTACCTATGGGAATTCATCCAACTTTCCTGCTTTCTAAAACAATAAATTATTTCCTTCTTCCATGTTTGTAATAGAGGAAAGTGCCCAAACTATCCCAGCATCTCTCCAATATGAAACTGAGTCTCTGTTAGACACGTTCTTGCTTTTTTTCTGCCACAGATTTTCCCTGGAGTGATGTTGTTAACATAATTCAGGTTTTTCCAGGTCCATCTATAACAGCCTCCCTGTGCATGGCTCAAAAAATCCCCAAACTTAAACTTGAGCATTCACTAATAAAGAAATGTGATCTTAGGGTCTTAGATGTTTTGACAGCACATGGTAATTGTTCAAATTATTCTTAAATTTACATATTTTTTGTTATTTCTGACTTAGTGTATGTGAATGACCTTTAGCTCCAACACAAGCAGCTTTCTTAGAAGCTGTGTGAGTTGTGCAGCCTTATCTCCACACAAATGAAAATCTTCCCTCAACACAAACTCAGCTCTCCAAGCCAGCCTGGTGCACAACTTGGTGATGATGAACCATTGCTCCAAAAATCAGACACTAAGAGGATAAGCTAGCATCAGAGATAGTAATAGTTTATTGTCCTAAAAATAAAATAGGCATCACAATCCAAGATTTCCATGTCCTTAGACTAGTATATGCCCATGAGTGGAGGTCTTTTGTGCCTCTTATTTTCTGAGAAACCATGGTTTGGTGTCTGCTGAAATCCTTATTATTCACTCCCAAAACTTTCCTTCTAATGCCAGTGGATTGGCTGTTTTTCAGCTTGAACTGTTGTAGTTGATCTTCTAAAACTTTTCATGTCTATATATGACCTCTTCCCTGAATTAATGGATGGCTCAGGGTCTGTCTCTGCTTTTCCTTTAGGGGCACACGTGGACTTCGTGCAGTCCTTGCCACTTCCACACTGGTGGTGGTGCCCATCAAAACTGATCTGTTCTATTTGCAATTTTTCTTTCTAATTCCTGTCTTGCTCCTACCTGACTTTCTTAGCAGCAGCTGCTACATCTTCTAGGCTGACTGAACTCTCTGAGGGGTGGTATCTCTGATTTTCCTGTGCCCTGCACTGAGGTTTCTAGTAGGTGTGAATGCAGGATAAATCAGTGCTTCTGATGCAGGGTGTTTATTTGTGTGCTGTTCTTAAAACACAGAATTTTAACATGGAGCAAATGAGCAAGTGATTGAACAGGAACATCAGGTAGCAATTTGGGAGCACTCCTCTTAATGCATACTTGAAGAAAACCCCTCCTGTTAAAATAAATTCTGGGTTTCTCTTGTCTGAGATTTTATTTTTTTGAAGTTCATAGCAATACCCAACATATTCATTAAACATTTCTTAGGAGAGCTTTCCCCATCATGATCTGCATTCTCAGATCTCTCCACAGTGAGCTTTGATTGTGTAAGACATATCAGAAACAAATCATGGAGCAACTCTTGATCCCATAGATGTGTTTTATGCCCCTTCTGAGCTTTCCCATCCCCTCTTGGTTGTAAATTTACATTTATTATAAGTGTCCTCATAAGCTGTCCTCCTTGATTACTAACAGAGCCTGGTTTTCTGATATCCATCATGCTATCCATTGATGATCCAGTTCTTAATTTGGGGAGAGCACTTGGTAACGTTTAAGACCTGGATGCCAAGTATTTGGCATTTGTCCATTCTGTTTGTTTTATTTTTCATAAATATTTTGATGTTCAGGTCCCTTTAGACCTGTGTGGAAATGTTACACCTAATATTTGTATTTCCATTATCACACTTACCTCTTATAGGCCAAGAGCACAAATGAAAAAATTCATAAACAGTTGAACTGTTATCAGCTTTTAGGTTGTGGGGTGTTTATCACTCTCTACAACCACTGGAAAGGAAGTTGTGGCCAGATGAGGGTTGGTCTCTTGTCACAGGTAACAAGTTACAGGTCATGAGCAAACAGTCCTAAGTTGCTCCAGAAAAGGTTTAAATTGGATGTTGGGAAAATTTCTTCCCCAAAAGGGTGGTTAGGCATTGGAACAAGCTGCCCAGGGAAGTGTTCAAAAATACCAAATCTAAATAGTTGGTGTAGTTCTCCACTTAAGTGCTTTTTGTTTTCACCCAGATTTACCCTGGGCATGATTTTCATTTTAATGGATTGGTAACATATGTTCCCGTTTTTAGGATACTGTTACCTCTGTAGTTTGGCCCCTCGCTGATTTTGTTTTCACAATAATTTCAGTCAGGTGAGGATAATTTACATTCCCCCAGGCTGGGAGCACTGGAGCTGCCTGGGTTCTGCTGTGTCCAGCATGGAGCTGTGCTCAGAGTGGAACCACCTGGACAATCCAGTGGAAAGCCCAGTACAGCCATGCATATCCCATTTCTTTAAAAAATATAGAATTGGGCAAAAATGTTGTGGGTTTCAACTTGTGAAAAACAACATATGCCTTAACTGGGATGCTGTTAGTAGGAAATTTTGACTTCAGACCTGCAGGGGTACTAATGAATATTTGGTATTTTATTTGGGATATAAACTGTAAAAGGATGAGCACCAGCTTGGGCACCAGTGCCTGAAGTGAGCAGTTTGTATCCAGAGCATGTAGGCGTCTGCAGGATCAGGAGTTCCATGCTGATTATGTTTTTCTTTAATTATATCCATTGATGGAGGGATGGAGGAGGCACAGAATCATATAAGGATTCCTTTAAAAATCATCTGTTCCAACCCCCTAGTACTACAACCCCTGTCTACCTCTGGTACTACTTAATAGTGTACGAGGTTTTTCTGATGCCTGGATACCTTTGTGTGTTTTTTTTTTAAAAACATCCACTTGCTTTTCCAGCTTCCCATGTCCATTTATAGCCCTGCACTTGACACCTGTCTCCAGCACACAAGTGGGGTGTGTTGTTCCTGTGGCCAGTCCCTGCAGGCACCAGGCTGTGGCTTCCAGGCAGTTCTGGGTGCTCCTTCCTTCTTCCCAGGGCTGAGGCTGCCTTGTCCACATCTCCCAGCTCCACAGGGTCCAGATCACTTGCTCTAATGCAAATGAGCACAAAGCCAGTTATGTCCTGTGGAATTCAGCAGGGGACAGTGAAAAGGGGGATGATGAGATGCAACAGTTTTGGGTATGGTGGACCCATGTGTGCTGCTTGATTTCCCAGTGGACCTGGAAGCAAATATTCATTTCACTTGGGTCAGAGTCTCTGCTTTTCTCTGTCTATCCTCATCTTTTCCTCACAGTTTTCCAGACTACTTAAATTCTCACCTTTCCTTCACTTTCCCTTCAATTCTTTCACCTTTCCTTCACTTCTTTTCTTGTTTTTCAAACTCACTGACTACATCATACTACTACTCACTGTGTAAGACCACTTCTATTCACATTCTCCTTATCTCACAAAGGGCTGAGAAAGGATTTGCTGTTCCAATGGAATTAAGATTTTGTTTTGTTATGATTTATTACATTTTATTATGATCCTTGCTTTGCACTTTGCACTGATAGGAAACTGTTCAGAAAGTGGAGTGGAGCCTTGTGGGAGCAGAATGAGATTCTCTTCTTTAAGGAAATGTAATATCACAGTCAGATTCGCTCTTTATCTCCTTTAGATCCTCTTTGATAAGGTGGTGTTTGACTTCAGCACTAGCAGTTGCCACCTGTGGTATTTCTCACTTTCTCAGGAGGTTGGAGGAGGGAAAAAGTCAGATCTGATCTGAGCTCAGTACCTTGAACATATGAAGCATTGTGGCCCTGCAAGTGTTATGAAATCATTCCTATCAGGTCTAATGAAATAATTCACTGATCTTTCTGAAGTCTCCAAATATGATACTCTACTAAAAAGAAGCCTTAGGGGAAATTAAAATTCCATCTGTAGAATGCAGTTTGAATAGGATGCAGTTAATATGCAATGGAACTACATATTAAAGAGCAAGGAGAATTATTTTGACTAGCTGCTTATTAATTGTGCATCCATTACCTTGATTTAAAAATACAGAATAATAAGGTTAACAGTGCAATTTGGTGAAGTTATTTTAAAGCAGAGAAAGGCTATGTTCCACCAGTAACATGTGTGATTAATCAGCATCATCTAAGCCTTAAATCCATTGCCAAGTGTAAGAGCAACATTGGAACGAACAATCAGCCAGCAGCAGCATCAATTGGTGTAAACCAGAACCCAGGATGATTTCACAACTAATGCTAGCAGCTGTCATGTAAAAATTAAGGTTCTTCTGAGTGTCCTTTACAGCCCTGGGGAGGCCTGCATAGTGTGGGCAGAACTCTTCTGCCTTTCCCTTCAAGCTTGGTATCTTTTGCCCAGTTTCAGTCAGGTTGAACCTCTTGTGCCCATTACATGCTCTTTTTTTTTTTTTTGAGTACCTGTCCCTCAGTCTTTTACTGCCAGGCTGCACCTCCACACCATTGGTCTCATATTTGTTACTCCACACTATCTCTGAGGATCTGTGCCTTTTGTTTCCTTCCCAAAAGGTATCACTTACCCTAACATATCATAGTACCTTGATCTCCCACCTGCTTATATAATCTTACTGTCCTCCCTCTGCCCCCCAGTTCCAGATGCTTATTCTTGTCGCTTTGCTGAGCTGCTCCAGGGCTTTGAAATTGCAGCTTCTGGTTTCCCTTCTTTTCTGCAACTTCTTTTTCAACACCCTCCATCAGACAGATCGAAACAGACTAATGTTGCTGAGCCAAATGATGCTTTTCTACCTGTAGACAGCAGAAAAAATGAACCAAAATAGTGTATTTTGCCATGTTGAGTGTGGCTTTGGGGTACCAGGCATTTCACCAGTCCCTTAATACACAAAGGTGAGGCTGTTGTTTACACCAGTAATTCCTGGAAATTTTAACATGGGAGAAAAACAAATGAGAGCCATTTTCTGCAAGTGTGACCATTCTCTCAGTTCTCTCCGGTCACTGTATCAGAGCTACATTGGTTTAGAGAGTGAAACACACTTTATTACCCATCTTCTCCCCTGCATACTCCTATCTACTGAAAAGGTGTTTTGCTAAAGGATTAGTAACTTCCCCACAGGAAGGCCAAGGGTTTCATCAAATCCAATAGGAAAAATACCCCTTGAGTATGTACATCCAAGCTCTCACACAATTACCATTTTCAAAGAAAGACTGGCAAGGATTTGAATGTAATGTACAAAAAGCTGACTTAGTCTCTGGCACAAAACATTATTATTGTATAGTCTCAAGCCAGTGTGAAATCAATATGATAATATGTGCTTTAATGATTTATTTAGGTTGTCTTGAAAATCCAAGTTGGATTGAATTGTTTTATTTATATGTTAGCACTTAGGACATCTTGGAGATAAAAGTAAAGCATTTCTTACCAGAGAGATGAGATAGTGTCACACCTTCTGCAAGTGATTTATTGGAGTTATTTGTTAAGAATAAAAACCAGCTTTTATATTCTGTGTACGTTGTTTCCTCAGATGAGATTTTGCCTAAAGGTCTCTGTGAGTGGGTAGAAGGAGTTGTTGATAATGCTGCTGTTTATATATGTATAGAACATTCTTTGAGTTCTCTCAGTTTCCCTGAGAGATTGTGATGATGATTGTTTCAGGCATGTATATATTTCACTTTGAGAGAGGTTATTTGAAAACGCGCAGAAGCTTTAATCCTGTTTTCTTCTTGTTTACACAGAAGGTGAAAGAGCTTTACCATCAATACCAAAGTAAGTTTTGTGTTTTCTTTTCTTACATATTAAAAAAAATGTTTTGGAGAATAGTGATACTTTTGGAACTTGTTTATAATAATAATTTTTATTGTTGCTTTTGGATTCCAGGACAAATAGCAGGTAGGGCATAAAAAACTCACGGTAGTATTAAAGTACAGAGATAACAGAAAGAAAATCAGAGAACAAAAGTGCATAATGCATTCATCGTATTTGACAGTAACAAAAGCAGGATGTTTTGGAAAAGACTTGACTGGGGTTCAGGCTGTTTCTTTGAATCCATCAGTAAATTTAATTATAGGAGTGATGCTAAACAGTTAGCACTGTTTATTTATAAATAACTACATTTAAATGCGATTGGTTTTCTATGTTTGACATGTAAATTAATTCAAAATAGTACAGGACAAGTCTTTTTACAGACAGAAACTCAATTCATACTCCATTTCCCACAGATCACATAGGAAGTATAAGCACAGTCAGGTTACACACATCTTACAAGTGAGCACAGTTTGGGTTTTGTGGTTTCCTTCAAATTCACCAGGTTTCTGTGAGTTGTTGTGCTGATTAAAAGCCACTCTCACTCCCCCAGACAGGCTGAAGTGGTAGATTCCTCTCTGGCTTCTCCCCCTGCTCATCCTGTGGCTGGGGAGGTGGCTCAGCCCTGCTAATTGCAGTAGGTGCCTGTTGGGATGAATTCCCAGTGTTCGTGAAGAATGCACAGCATTCAGCACTTCCAACTTCTGTTTTCCAGGCTGGCCAACAATGAGAAGCAAGGAGTGAGGTCTCACACAGTCTCTGTGTCAGGTAAGACTCATCCAAAGCCAGGAGCTGAGTTTATTTCTGGAGCTGGCAGAGGTGCAGGCAGCTTTTCCACTCGCTGCTGCTCCAGGGCTGCTGACTGCCCCAAACTGGAGCTGTGCTGCCTTCGTAGAGAAGTTTCTAAAGAGAAACTTTTATGCAACAGCCACATCTGTGCAGTTACTTCAAAGCCAGGCTGCTTGTCAGAATTTCCACTTAACTTTAGGATGAAGTAGAATGTCTTGGCTAGACCTGAAATTACCTGAGTATGTGCTAATTGTGAGGAAGCAGCTTTGAAAAGGGAAAATAGGCAATTAAATATTAATCATTGCTTTACAGAAAGGAGAAACCTAATAGTTGTTTTTCTGCAGCTATTTAGATAAAAGCATTTAATTTTTGCTATTGCAAATGACAAGTTAATTGAAGGATGGGTATGTGAGGTAATGCATGTTGTTTCTGTTCTTTATAGGTTTCTAAGAATGCTCTAGGTTAACATGGAGTTTTTATGCTTGAGAGAGAATATGTTCCTGTTGCAGAATCTTAAATAATTTTGAAGGATTGAGTCTTAGTCGTGTCTTAGTAGCAAATGTATTTCTCAATCAGTATACATAATATTTATTAAGGGGATTTATAGTATTATATAGTCTTTATAGTATGATCTATATTATTAAGATTTATATTATGATTATATTATGTTTCAATAGGTTTCTGGTATTTGGTCACAAACTTGAAGAACCAATACTGTGACTCAGTGGATTTCCCTCCCCTTAGAGGGAGGCTTCAGCCCCACTCTTACATTTGTGTGAGCTCTTGGTGGCAAATACTCAAAACCCCAACATATTTCATACAATAAGGAGGAAATATACATAGGCAGTTAATTTCCTACTTCTCAGATTCCTTTCCCCACCCTTACCTACTTCTAAAAGATATGTAAGATTCACTGCTTCACATAGGAAACCTAAATAAACACTGCAAGAAAGCAGGTGAGAGTGTGTGAGTTAAAATGAGGCTAAAGCTGCAGTGGGGTAATAGAGCTTCACCAGTTACTGTTGCCTCTCAAATAGCAGCTCTTCTTCCTTCAGAGCCTGGCAAGCAAGCATGCTAGATCAGGTGGATAAGCATGAAGCATGGTCAGCACGTTCTCTTTTGATTCTTACCTGTATGGCTCATTTTAGCTATTAAAAAAAGTTGGAATTTCTGAAGGGATTAGCTCTGTGCTTTTGTAATTACTCCACTCACCCTCAAAAAGGGTAATCTTCAGGACAAAAAAGGCTGTCTGCAGCCTCAAATTTTCACTCCTTCAGTTTTTCTGAGCATGCCAGTAGTACTTTTAATAATGAAAACAATAATAATGATGCTTTCTTGCTGTCACTCTGACTTCACAAATTTAAGTATCCTGTGCTGAAGTTCTTAGGTGTTTCAGAGCACAAATGCTTCTTTCTAAAGTAGCATTTTGAAATTAGTGTAGGAAGTGAGTTGTACTACCCCCAGCTCTGGCATTGAGGGCATCCCATGAAGCTGGATGAGGAGGAAATGAGAGCAGTGCTGGAGGTGAGCTGCTTGTTCAGGTGAATGTCAGGGACTCTGCAAAGCTGGCTCCTGTGAGCAGTGCAATAAAATTAAACCAGCAAATATCATCCTCCTTCTTGCCAATACAAAAAACCCCCACGAATTAGGTATTATTCTTGTATTGTAGGAGTGTTTTATATCTTTCCACAATAGAATTATTGTGCTTGGTGCTTGTTTTTATACCATGTTACAAACCATTGGAAGTGCTGGAATGGTTTAAGCCAATGCATTTAATATTCAGTCTCAAGGGTTTGTTCTTCTTATAATATAATGACACAGAACACATAAATACTTTTTGTTGTTGTTGTGTTTTTCCCCTCAAAGTTAGTTAAAATGCACTGAGTATGTCATCATATGAAATTTAAACCAGAGGCAGATTGCTGAGATGAACCCACATGGCAGGGGTTATTCTCAGAAGCTGCTTTCTGTAAGAATCTCTTGAATCCCCCAGGGAATCAGTTTGCTGTAAATGAAGTGATGCTTGATGTGCATGTGGAGAAGTGCCACTCTTCTTGTCAGATGGAGCCCATCCATCAGAGGGACAGGGGAGGCAGCAGCTGTGGGGGTGCTGCTGTGGGGTGCAGAGCAGGAGCTTTTCTCTGCTGTCATGGCAGTGGCTCAGAGCCAGAGGTTTCAGATAAGATGAGCTTTTGTAGCTCAATGACATCTGTAACTGCTCCACACCTTTGATGGTTTAAATCATAAATTAACTCTGTGTTTGATTTCAGTGACACTGCTCCCCTTTATTTAGACCTCTCCCTAAAGATAAATAGCAAAAATGTAAAACAGAGATTCAGCAAAAAAATTAAGAAGTCAGATACATTTATAGTATTAACATGCTTAGGTCAAAAGGGAAGTTTCTCAGTGAGTTTCCCACCAAAACTGGGATAAACCAACAATATCCCAACCCAGTGTGGAACATGATTTGGTGTTTTGAAAGTTCAGGTATTTGTCTGAAGCTTTGCAGGTTTAGAAAGGAGCCTGTTAATAAAAGACACCTTGTCTTTTTTAAGTACTTGCTAACATACTTCGGAATATTTCTTGTCTAGTGAAGTGAAAACTTGGTCTTTTCCAAGTGCTCCAGTACTCCAAAGCACACAAAGATAGAAGGTTTGTAAATCCTCTTGATTTTTTTTCCTCCTCTAAATAAAGGTCCTTTCAAACTAGTGAGGGATGAAGTTGGTTTCAGGAATCCAAAGCAGCAAATTGCTGGATCTGGGAGTTTATGTGTTACTGAACCAGGTTTCACCACACTCCTCCTGCCTCTTGCTGCTTCTCTTTTTTCTGGTGTTGTCTACCTTGATTCCTCAAATTCTCTGTTCCTTGCAGTGGACACTCTGTGTAACTAAGATGCCTGCCAGATTCCCCTCCTTTTAAAAAGTATGGTGATTTTATACCTCAACACATTTGTGTGTGTGTAAGATTATGAATTACTGTAAATAAGCTGAACCAAATCAGTTGGATTTTAGATTTCTTTGGTAGTCATCTGATGTTTTGGCTGAAGTTGCTGTGATTCACCAGAAACAATGAGTGTTTTAGCTAATAGGGAAATGCAGTTTTTACCTCCTTCTCCCTCTGCATCTGCATTAAAAAAAAGAGTTCTTTGTACTTAGCCAAGGGTGTACACTCAGGAAATGGTAAAGCCAAACTATTTGCTCTGTGCAAATAGTATATCAAATGTGTAAGAAGCAGCACACCAGTTAACTCTAATTTTACTGACTATATTTCCACTGTTAGTCTTGGAGAAACCTTATCAAAATGCTTTGCTGTAGTGTAAAGGAACTTACTTTGGCCAGCAGTTTGTTTTTAAATAGCAAGCATTAGCCTTGGTAAGGTGATCTTGTATTTCCAGATACACATCTTTCCAAAAATAATAACTTATCTGGTCCATTCTATATTACAAAAAGTTTTTCATAAAATGAAATCAGTACAGCAGTAGCTGCTTGCTCCCTTTTTACATAAATTCCTCCTGACACAGAGTTCTTTGGTTTCTTCTGCCCCTTCCTTGCTTATGTAAATATGACTAGGAAGAATAATTATGCTTTTGCATCCCTTGGCTTATCACTGTGCCTCCTTTACCCTGGAGAATTAATGAATTTTTTTTAATCCTAGCTCAAATGCTACTTTCCATGCAGTGCCACAGAATATGACATTTCAAGCCCATGTGTTTCAGTGAGCACTGAACAGGCAGAAGAATGAACAAGTCTTGGCAAATTCTTGGCAGTGCTGGGTTAGTGGTCGAATTAGATGTTCTTAAGGGTCTTTTTCAACCTAAAGGCTCCTGTGATTCCAAGCAGTCCCTCCTGGCATTTGGATATTCAGGTACTGTTGTAAAATGATGTTGTGGGGAGGGAGCTGTGAGTGGGAAGATGACAGGAAGGGAGAGGTGAGCTGTCCTGCAGTAGCCAGCACCAGGGATGTGTCTGAAGGGGATTTTAGGATGTCCCACAGGCTTGGTGTAGCTTAAAGCAGGTACTGGTTTTGCAGCTTTAGTATGAGCTTATTTGGTGACTGCAATTAAAAGGTTTCTGAAAATACAGTCCCTGTTTCAGCTGATAAAACAAAGTGTTCGAGGCACCTGAGTAGCAAACCCCAGTAAACAAACCTTTAAGAGGAAAATAAGTATATTAAAGAGAAACTGGTTTGTTATCCTGTTCCCCAGCTGGTGCAGCTGCTGTCAGTAACACAGGCAGCATTTTAAACTCAAAGGGGTGCAGCTCTAAGTGCATCATGAAATGATGGCAGGAGTTTCTAATAATTCTCGTTGTGCATTGCCTCTCTATCCCATGGTTTAGTTATATTCAGTAACATGCCCCGTGGAGGATTTGATTTCTTGGAGCAAATAGCTATATAGGAGCTGAAGGATTTTAGTATCTTGAAAGAGGAGCTTCTCAGCAATTTTCCAGGTTCTGCTTTAAAATCACAAATTTGTAACATAACATTGTTAAATTTTAGTCACTGTGTTTAACTCCTGATCATGGCAGTGAAACGAGAAGTGCTGCTTAGGAGCAGATCCTGTTTGAGGGAGCTGCCAGTTTAGTCCTGGCATTCAGCTGAAATTTCAGTTTGAATTGAAAAAAAAAGCCCTTGTTTTGAAGGAGGTAAGCCTGTTTTAAGTGAGATTTTATCATGAAAGAAAAAAACCTCTATGGTATAGTTTTTGAATAAAAGAGACTTTCAGGAGGTTTTCTATAGAGCAGAAACCAAATGTGGAAACATAACAAACAGGAGAGGAAAAAAATAATAAATCTATTAACCTGATGTCAGTGTTGCAGCACTTCAAAGTGCTCTGAATGAAGCAGATGCTGGCTTGTGAAAGGACCTGTGTGCCCTGGGTTGAGGCTGATCACCAGCAAAGCTGTGAGCAGGATGGAAAAACAATTTTATTGAATCACTTCTACTTGCAGAGCACAGTGCTGGCTCTGTGACACAATTCCTATGCTCCACATGAAGGTCTGCCCTGTGCCCAGGTCTGAAAGAGTTTCTTGTGCAGGACTTGTATTTCTTAGTTCCTTTTGAGTTAGTTGCTGGGAAAAAAGGTGGCCTTTGCTTGAGGTTGAAAATTTATTGGCAGTTTTTTAACGTCCATTTTGTCAAGACACTCCAAAAAGACAAAGCTGAGAAGTGTAAGTAAATTTTTAGATGAAAAATTGTATCTTGAGCACTTAGGACTGTGTCACAGCTCAGCTTTATTGCACTGCACAGCTCACTTCTGAAAAGAAAGACTAAGAGTCTAGCCATAAATGGCATAGTTATAAACTCAAATTAAGTAATCATTAATTAATTTGAGGAATATAAAGACTTGGTTAGAGCTTTAGCTCTGCCATATGGTCACGGCACTGGGAGACATTCAAGCTTAAAGTTTACTGCAGATTAATTTTACAAACCTTGAGGAAGTCATTAGTCTCCAGGTTCATGGAGGAAAGAATTACTTCTTAACTAACCCAGCTACTTCACTGATTAATAAGATAATATAGTTGAAAATGTCCTCAATGCTAATAAATTACAGTATTTCAGATTCCCATCACAGTTGAATGGACTGGTGCTGTTATCTTTTCCTATTTTAGCCTGACTGACTAAAAGGCTTTGTGCATAAAAAGACCCAGAATGAATTGTGGTGGCAGTCTGAAGAGATTTCTTCCATATCGGTGTCCAGGAAGTTTCTTCAATGATTCCATCAGCCTGTGGTGCTGGTTAAGGAGTTTTTATTCTCTTGTGCTCCTCCTATGTGAGCCTCTCATTGGATTTGAGCAGACACTTCTGCTGTGCAAATGGTACCAGTGTGGTGTGACTGGAGAAATATTCCATGCAGGTATGGAGGTTTGTTGTTTACACAGAAACATATTTGATGTGCCAAGCCCATAGTGCTCATTTGAGTTCAAAAGCTCAAAAATCAATAGATATATTCTTTCTGCAGGTTTTTGTTTTAGGGTTTTTTCTCAGACTGGTTCAAGAATGTGCAATGAAATAGAATGGGATGTTTTCAGGTTCAGCCTTCCAGTATTTGTTCTCTACCCATACAGGGAACTCCAGTAGTAACTTTCCTGTAAAAAAAGGCAGTAAAAACCTGGCCTCTTTCTTTCTTTCTAACATAGTTATTGCACAGCAACTGATTTTTTCCTTATTTTTGCCTTTTAAATTTTTTTCACAATAATTTTAGTGAATACTGAATAGAGGAGCTAAATAAATAAAAATTTCCCATACAGTTTTCAGCAGCATTGTTGAGTACCAGTGAATACTGGCTGGAACTTGCTGTGGAATGCTGGAAATCCTTCTATTAATTTTGTTATGGTATTCTGTAGACTCCTGGGAAAGCATTAGAACTTCTATTTTTTAAAATTTAAAACCAACTCATTAGAATCAACTTCCTTTTGCATCTAGACTTGCCATCTTATTGAAAGGTTTTGTACCTTCTTGGTGATTTCTCATGGGCAGCTCCTCATAGCACTGACTCCTTCTTCTCAGCACAGTCAACAAAGTCCATCTAACTTTTCAACCAGCCAACCTACTCTTTTACAATACCCATCCTAATTGGATCTAGCTGTGGCCTATTAAGGGCAGGCCTATTCCTAATTCTTGATAATTAGCACAGCTGTAACTCCTTAGGGATGAGATTACCTTCATCACTATCTCTATTTTCCTGTATTCCACCCATCCACAATGGTAAGTTTAAGACAAAGCATCTTCCACTCAGTGTGGCAGAACAGTTGAACAAACTTTAGACACTAAATCATAAAGGCAGAGTTTGAAATGCAAGGGTAGAATTGGACCATCACAGGGCATCAGGGCATGCACATGAATTTAAAAACCTTTTTACCTTTCTAATATGTCCTTCATTTGAAATAGGTTTGCTCAGGTTTCAGCTGCTTGTGCCACCCACTTATCAGTGTGAGGCTGAGCAGCATTTGAGCGCTTAAGGCTTAATTTAGCTCTGTAGCCTGAGCAGGCAGGTCAGGAGTTGAAGCATCTCCTCTCTTTTAGAGCTTGCATTGCTGCAGTGACTCTATACCTGGTCTTCTGTTTCAGTATAGAGTGTTGGTTTCCCTGATTCTCATGTCAACACCTTTTCAGTAGTTGTTTGAACCAGCTGCAGTATTTTTTCCTTTCCTTCTATGTCTGAAGCTTTTTATGAGTGTTACCTGAGGTTTGTGCTAGAATGACAGTGCTGAAAATTGTCTGCCATGTGATGTTAGGAAGAGAAGTCCCTTGGGAGTATCAAGGGGGAGAACTCTAAGTGTTCCCCTTTAAATTGTCTTCAACCAAGACAAATGGAAATACTGATGCACTCAGTCAAGAATTTTCCCCTCTGCTTGCACCTCTTTTAGTTTTTAGCATTGAATCTGATTAGTGTTCTGTCTTTTCTCTCTGATATGTCCATTTTCCCACTAGATTAAGGATTCCTGCTCAGTCACCCAGCAGTTTTTATGATGGTAGTTTTTGTTGATTGTAGAAGTTACTTTTATTAAAATATAATTTTCCTTTTCTGTCCTTCCTGCACTCCTCCCACCACTGACTGGTTCACTGTCCCAGTAGCTGCTGCTGTGGGACTGGGCTTCTCTTTTAGCACCTGCATCCCCAGCCTATGTAACTCCAGGTGGCTGGACCTCACTCCTGAGTTTTGGCTCTGAAGAGCTACCAGCAGCAAGATGCAGGTTTTTTATTTAATTGGCTTTTTAAACCACTTCTCATATTTCCTTGGGGAGAGGAAAAATGGGAAAGGAAAGAGGAGCAAAGGTAACAAGAGAAATAAAAGGAACAGGTATCCTCAGGTGCTGTGTGTCATCTTGAGTCCTTCTTTCTCACCTTGTGAGTCTTCTTTGTATTTTTTCCTACTCCAAAATTTCCCTCATCCTGATAAGCACTTTGCTAAAACATGCAGTGGGGTGACTGAGAAAGGGGGTAGTGAGGGTGCCATGGGCTGTTCACCCCGAGGTCCTTGCAGAACTGGAATATCCATTGGCAAGGCAGGTCTGCGCTGGGAATAAGACTGGTGGCAGATTTGAGATCATAAAATCTGTCAATGCTGTATTTCAGGAGACAGGGAGACCATGTTTTTCCTTGTTTTGTGTAACCCTGCTATATGAAATACTCTTTCTGTGTTGTTTTAAGGGCTCAGAGAGTCAATACATATATGTTTAAGTCTGGTGACTGCCACTTAAGCTGAAATATAGGTGTCACACAAGTCTGATACAACTTAGATGGCAAACTTGGAAAAGCAGGTTGCACTTCTGGGATAGATGTTCTTTGTGTTGTTAATGAACGGTGTACATAGCTGGCATAATCTGACTTTTTAATGGGTTCTGGTGTTACTTCTAAAAACTGAAATATTAATTGTTGCAGAAAGGAATTTGAAGGAAAACACCAAAAATGTTTATTAGTTATCAGAGACATTTGTATTTTCATTTGGGTATACAGAATTTTAATGTAAACCTTTACTTTTATGTTCATTCGTTGTAGATGTTCTCTTCAGTCTCTTTTCTTTTATTTCCAAATAATTTGTTTCTGTTTTTTTTTTCTCTTTCCTTTTCTTGCCTCTTTGTAAAGGAGTCAATCACTGTCAGCATAAAGTAAAGAAAGCTAGACGCTTTCTGCCTTTCGTCTTCTGTGCCCATGAGTCGCCGCCCAAGGGTACTGCTCTGCTCTTTGTCTAGGCTGCCTTATTAACCCAAAAGCTGAATATACTAACTCAGTTACTGTTTGTAAACTACTTTAGCCTCAGGTAAACAGAGTTCCAAGAATAATTTCGTTATGTTTTCCTGCTGTTGAATTGGATTTTCGTGCAGCATCACCAACTTGCTGGTCCCCATTTTAATGGGGAATGTGTTTTCGAGAATCATATGCTACAATGACAAACAAATTATTTTATTTACACAGTCATGCAGCCCTTGACTGCCTTTTTTTTTTTTTTTTTTGTAAATATTTTGACTTCATTCTTGGACCCCTGACACAGCATGCTTATGGATGAAACAGAATAGCAACAATAAGCATCAGCTGAGATCACTTTGAATTAAACATGGACTACAGCGATGCTTTTGGCTGCGTACTGGTCCAGCACTGATCTAGACCAGTTTGGCTTTATTAGGGGTAAGAAGGATTTCCTGTTATTTATAGAAACTGTCTAAAATATTTGCCTTAGCTTGTGCTGTGGGGTTTGGTGTGCAGTAGGGCTGCTGCAGTACACGTGAAATCTGGTGTTTGTTTGAAATCCTCCCTGTAGAGTTGCTCTCTTTGTCACTCATTTAAATTTCAGCCTTGTACAAGTGCACAATGCTCTGTGTCGTTAAAACTTAGATGGTTCCATTTCTCACTCATGTCTTGGTGCTAGCTCAGGAGTGCATTTATTCTGGAAGGGTCAACACCAACTCTGCTTATCCAAAGTCCTCAGTGTATGTGCAGAGTCAAGTTGAGCTGACTCATCTGGCTGTAGGAGAACTGCTTTTAAAGTATTGACTAAACCCAGAAATTGACTATTTTTTACAATGCATTAAAAGAACTAGTTCCAGTTCCAAATTTAATTTTTGTGTACCTTTGTGTTTGAAAGTCATTAACTCTGTTTCATCATAAAAGCTTCTTAGAGCATATCTCTGTCCCTTGGGTTTTAGGTGAGAAGTCTTAAATTCTGCTGCTTTTCTGGTTTCTCTTGAGTCAGGTATATAAGATAACTACAGTCTGAATACTTTTGGATTACTCATGAATTTAATAGTATATTTTTCCCTCCCTCCTTCTCTGTCCCCTCTCTCTCCCCCTCTTTTTTCTCTCTCCTTGCATGCCACCTGGATCTGCAGATGAAATTAGTGGGGACGGTAATATGTTTTCTAGTCTGTGTGTTACTAACGTGCAATATGCAACTCTTATCCCATATACCACTTAATGCACATTTCAGTAATACATTTTATACAGCTTTTAGTGTTAAAAAGTGGTCTGCTTTGGGTATTAGCTGATAAGTATTGTACTTTACAGGCTGTGCAACTAATGCTTTCTGCTAAACTGGAATTGGGAAAGGAAAAATTCTACTTCAACCACACAGGGATGTGGTGGTGCATGTGTTTGCAATGAGACTTGTGGCATGATGCAAAGAAGGTTTAGAGGTTTGCAAGTGTCCAGTTTGATGGAAATGGTTACAACATCATTAATTTGGTCAGTGGGTGAGATCAGTGGATGTAACACCTGAGAAATGAGTCTACTGAGTAATGCTTTAAAGGCATCAAAGTGCTTCTTGCATTAAAAGAAGCTGTACAAGATAGATTAACGCAGATTGAATACATGAATATTAACCAGGTTTCAGCTATTCAAACTAATCATTTTGAAGACAGATTTTAATGTTTGCGGTTTCCTTTTTGAAACTTTGAAACTTACTACAAAATATTTAACTTCTGCAGACTTTAAAAGTATTTTTTCTTCTGAAAAGAAGTTGGGGTTTGGTTTTTTAAAAGAGACTTTTGGCTATTTTTCTAAAGGATTCCATCTGATGTTGGGAAAGAATCAAACTGCTGCTACTGATAGTGTGTGTATCTTTATTCTTCCAAGTAGGAGGCACTAAAAGGGCATAAAAGCAATATGCAAAGGACGGTGGTGATAAGAGGAAATAGAGATCACGTCTCGTGGCCTTCCTTTCAGTGAAATGTGAAGGGGTTGTATTAACTTTTCATCTCCTTCCCTTCAGATATAAGCTAAAGATAATGCCACACAATTTTCTTCCTTTTCTTAAACATCAAAAGGACATTTTTTTCTTCCATAAATTTAAAGATTATATTTCAGATACTACCTCTACATAGCTTTTTACTGGAATACCTTCTTTTATAAATTACAAGCTCTGGTAAATGGGAAAAATTATGAAAAAGAGAAGTTCAAATGTGTGCCTGGATTAGCTGTTATGGATTTAATACCCTGGGATGTTTCTCCCTATGTTTAATAAATTATTTCAGATACAGTGAAGCTCAGATTGGCTCATTCACGTGAGTGACCACCACTACCTTTGCCTGAAAGCAACTTGTTCATTTTGCCATCTCCAAGAATCATAACAAGTGATGCTGTTGGGTTTAAAAAGTGCAGGAGGGCAGCATGATGAGCCCTCTTATTAAATCTGAGTTTTTCTGGACTTACCAAGGACATCTGGAATTGCTGAATGTGTTCAGCTCTGAAGGTGCTGTGACACTTCCTCCTTTGTGGAGCAGCCTGGGGAGCCCTGCCCAGCTCAGGTTTACTTTAGGCTCCATGTAGGTTCTGGAATATCTCTTGGCAGACACAATTCTGGGAGGTTTTGTAACAGTCTCAGTCTATGATTAATACTGGGCTCCAGCCCCTCTGTGAGGAGGTCAGTTCTCTTTGTTCCAGACCACTTTGAGCCCATCAGTGTTGATGTCTGGACTGAATTTTCCTAATTCCCAAAAACAATGCCAGACATACATAGGAATTATTTTTTTTTATATTCCTCTCCAGATTGTTAAATGTGGAACAAGAAATATTTGTGTAGTTAATTGTGTACATTTAATTTATTTGGATTGATTATGAAGACTTCTGGTTTCATGATGGTTTTGGGCAATGTATCAAAAGCATGTAAAGTGCTCTGTGCTGTTCTGAGAATGCTTTTAGTATGAATTAACTCATTAATTTAAAATAGATGAACAAGCCCTGCCATTGATCACATTCTGAAAGCACTGTTCTGTAACCTAGTGTGACAAGTGTTTGGGGTCTTTTTAGTGGCACCAGTTTGGTTTTCAGACTTTAAAAATTTTTCTTAATTATGTTTACAATATTTTTCATCCAGTCCATTTGCTAACATAGATTAAGAACTTTCTGATTTTTGTCTTCAACAAATTCCTGTCACAATATTGGAGGGAAACAGAGTGATTTGTCCCCATCATGTTGGGTTTGGGTTTTTTTTTTAAAGCTTATTTCTAAAATCAAACTGAGGCTTATTTTTACAAAAACATTAGTTTATGATGTAGGGAAGCAAATAAAATACCAAGAAAGAAATAAGTACTTCTGGAGTGTTCTGCCTGTTCAGAATTGTGCACTGTTTTTAAAATTTATTGCGTTTTCATTAGGTGACTGTGTTTTGCTATGTCCCACATAGAAATTGCCTAGCAAAATTTAAAATTACATAGAATTTCCCAGTTCTGCTTTTACGTGGCATATTCCTACAGGAGTTCAAAAGAAAAAAACAGCTTTAATTTTATTTAAATAATAAGAAACTAGGATCATAAAATTACTCTTAGTCCCTGAAGTGTGTTGAACTTCAAAGGTTATAGGCAACATGTACTTTCCTAATTGTTGAATATTCAGTTTGCCTGAAAACCGAGCCTCTTGCTTGTCTGTGTGTGTAATATTGATGAGCCTTGCTCTGGTTTCAGGACTGGGTTCAGCTGAGGGACCATCCCATCCTTCTTCCCACTCACTGTGGCTATGCCATGGCTCTGGAAATGATGCCAGGGAGCTGTAGGGATGCATCCATGTGCTCCAGGGCAGATGGGGGAAAAGGGGGAGAAAATCATCAATTCCAGAGGCTTTCCAGTGTGTGGTCACCTGAAATAAACCATAAAAACTGCACAGTGGGTTTGGAAATTACTGGGTTTTGAGAATCTCTCTTTGTGTTTAAAGTTGGTGAGTAGAATTTGACAGCCTTGAAGTAAAAAATGAACCCACTGTTGTGGACTGGCTTTAAAACCCCCTGGAGGAGCTGATGTGACGTTTAGGAAATGACCTCCACACACTGGAAGTTCTTTAGGGCAAGGGAAGGACCTTCTGATATGACTTGACACCATTTGAACCATTTTGAGAGCAGATGATGTAAAAGTTGCAATTTTAAAACAACGGAAGAAGTGCATTGTCATTTTTCTGAAAATTTTGGGAAGTTGTTTCCAAAACCTGTCCATGAAATCTTGAGTCTTGATAGCAAAACTAGTAGTGATTTCCACTAAAACAAGGAAAATTGTAAGAAAAATGGGGAAGAGAGTGTGGCTTTAAAAGGTCTTTGTGCTCTAGAAGATTCTGTGGTAAATAACTCACCTGGCCACACTGACAGGAGGGGGAAGCTGCCCTGGAACATCATTGGTGTCTTCTGCCTGTTTGACATAAAAAATAGCAACCTGTTATTGCCTCTTTATTGAAGGTAAAGCAATTTAACTCAGTCATAATTTTTTCTCTTTACTGCAATGGAATTTGCTATTAAAAAAGATTTTAAATCAACAGTTTAGGTGGGTCCCAATTGCAAAACTTGAACTTTTTTTGAGTACAAATGAATATTCCTTTTCTTCTTTGTTGAGTGCATCTATGTGATGTAATACAGTAGGCACTGAGGTCATTATCATATCATGAATTATGCATGAGCAAGTTTTAGTCATGCTGTATTAAATGTGACCCAGCAATGCTGAGCTTGGGGTTTGGGACATACCAGCCTTGATACATTGGGGTTGTTGTTCTGGAGAATTGTTTTCATCGGCTTTTCCCGAAACTCTTCAATTCCTCCCTTTTGCAGAGACTGATGACTATGCAGAGATTATAGATGAAGAAGACACTTACACAATGCCCTCAAGTAAGTGCCATGGTTAACTGGGGACCTTTCCTATCCAAAAGCTTTCTTGGTTTAGCAGGAACTGAAATATTTCAGCCTTATTTAATGAATGTGCAAAGAAAATGTTCTGCTTTCCTGCTATCTGTGATTTCACAGGGAAATTGGGGGTTTTTTGTCTCAAAATGTGGATTTTTTTTTTTTTATTGTGATGCTGAGCATAGCACTTAAAGATTGAATAAGATCTCTGTGATGAGAGCAAACAGTGTGGCAAGCTCTGTGGATTGCTGTCTGACTGTATCTCACCTTGCTCTGTGACAGATGTGGTGCTCTCCAGTTCCATGAGAAAGGAACACTCAATTGTACCACATGCAATTTTGTTAAAGATGAAAGACTGCAGTAACAAACACAGAAATTCAAAGTGCTGCTGAGTCTTCATCTTTGAAGTAAAAACAGTGGTGCTGTAGGCACCACAAGTATTTTGTGTTACAGCCTGTTTGAATTATGATATAATCCTAAACTGTCAAGGCCAAGTCATTTGACATGAAAGCTCAATATTATGATTATAAAAGCTGCATCTGGGAAATTCCAGTTGCATTTGGGCAACCAAGGATTTCTCTGGAAGCAGACAATCCACTGGTTCAGAATCCTGCCAAAAGCATCAGGTTTGGTCAGTGTGAGAAGGGAGGATGGTGCTGAGCTGGGGCCACATTCTGATGAAGGACCATGAACTTGTGTAGATTTCTGAGCTCACCCTGGGGCAGAATGTTTCATGCTCACTTCAGTGTTCACAGCGTTATTTCCACGACTGTGGAAAACCTTTGAAAAGCAAGAATATATGTTTTGCAAAACATATATATATATATATGTATATATTTGAACATCAGTATTTGAAAAGCAAGAATATATGTTTTCCAGAAATAAACTGAGCATTTTTAATGTCATGCAGTTAAGTGACTACATATTGTATTAACAAAGTTTCAGGATCAAAACATAGAGTGATAAATGATATCCTTTATTTTTTTAACAGATTAACTTTGTGTAATTTGTGTAATTTGTTCTCCCCCCCCCCCCCCCCCCTTATATTTAAATTCTCATGGAATTAATTACTTGTGGGCCCAGCCCTGGATGTGCTGAACACTTTAATATGGCTTCAATGCAAAACCCATCAGATGGGCTGTGGAGGGAAATTCATTAAGGGCTTTGCTGAATTGAAGGGGACTCAAGTGTTCAGCTCCCAAAGGACTGAGTCAGTAAAGTTCACAAGAATAGGCCTGTGACTTCTGCTAATGTCAACTTTAAATTGCATCAGTATATTTCTTCTTTTTTTTTTTATGTTGAAAAATGTTTGTCCTGTTTTGATTTTAAGAAGCTCTATCTAAGTAAGCATTTGATTTTTCTCTTAATTGCACTGCAGAAAGCTATGGAATAGATGAAGGTAACAGGAGACCCTTTACCCATCCCTGTATGCTTGCAGTTTGGAATGATGTGGAATTTTTAAGCTTACTCTATTCACTTTCATTTAATAAACATTATTTATTTATAGTTAAACCAGTTAGCTTTGGGATTTTAAAGAGGAAAATGCAGTACTTAAAAAAAGAAATGAAAAAGGCATTTATCACCTTGTTAGCCAGCTCTACATGACATTACTTCTGTAGTGTTAGTGATGTCAAAGTCAAGGTTATGAAGTTCTAAGCTGGTTTGTTATGATTTTTTCTCTGAATAATACAAGCAGAGGTGAAAACATATACTGTGCTGCATGCTTTTCTGCTATTCCTGAAATATTTTTCATGTCTGCTAGAAATTAAATTGCAAATGAAATCATTCAATTGCAATTGATTACATGTTTTGCTGAAGTGCTGAGCCATTTTTATCAGTAATATTCTCAGCCTATTAAACTGTGACATTAACAAAATTGCATAAGGCCACCAAACATCTCCATTTTACTTCAGTTGCACACTGGCAGAGGTGTAGTGCACCCAAAATTTTGCTCTTTCATTTTGTCTTTATTTGCCATGCTCTTGTTCCTGTATTTTTTTCTCGCAGTTACCTCTTTAAAAGTTCTCTGGGCTTTTTTGATGGTTCCAAGATCTAAACCAGCACATGGTGGAGTCCTCTTAAACAGCCAAAGGGATGTGTGCTGAGTTTAACAGCATTGGTGTTGCCTTAAACTGTTTGTGTGCTTTGTCTTTCACCAGCTGTAATTAAAAATGATTTAATTATGTTTATTGCACTGAAATAAGTGCCTTGTAATTAATTTAACAATCTCACCATTCTTTTCCTGTTGCTTTGGTTCAAACTTCTGAGAGGTTTGAGAGGTCTCCACTGTGTGTGTGCAGCATCTCTATAGGCTGGTGTGCAGCAAAAGTTAATCTTAGTTTTTCATATGTGAGACATTTGAGTGACTTACTTTGAGTTTTGTGTCTTGTGGAGTATTTCCTTGCCCTTCAGCAGAAACTTAATATTTCAAGTGCATTATATTCTTGTAGCCAGAGATTATGAAATTCAAAGGGAGAGGATTGAGCTGGGGCGCTGCATTGGGGAAGGACAGTTTGGAGATGTGCACCAAGGAGTTTACATCAGCCCGGTAAGCCTCACTTCTCAAACAAAAATTAACAATAAAACTTTGCTAGGTAAAAAGAAAAAAGAGTGTTCCTTAGAAGTCTTGGTCTGAGTCTTCCAGAACAAATAAAAATTTGGTCCAGTGACAATCTCGCTGTCTCTCTCACAACAAAGCATAATAAAGTTCCTATGTTTTCCTGAAATAAAATACAAAATACTTGGACACTGATCCAGCAAAACGCCAATGCACAAGAATCTCCTCAGTGAAACCAGGTAGGTTGGCAGGACTTGTGTAATTTAGGATGGTACTCATGAGTTTTCCTAAAAGACTAAGATTTTAGTTTAAATAGGTCAAAAAAAAGTGTAAAATAGGAAGAGAAAGCTGCAAAAAACATAGTTAGTTTCAACAAAGATCCCTAATAAAATAAATATTTCATATTAGAAGAAATTGTTGGAATTTTTGGTAGATTATACAAGAGTTCCTGAGGACAATAATCTAGTTGTAACTTCTACAGCAACAGCTGGTTAGGGTTCTGGGCTCAGTGAGTTAAATAATCTTCAGTGCAATATTTAAGTAAATAAGGATAAATTTTCTGTTTCAGGCAAGTTTGAAGTCTGATCTGATACCCTTATTTAGAAAGCACATCTGATATACTTCACATTGAGAGAGATTCTTATTTTGCATTTAATTCTGTCCAAGTTAACAGGAGTACCAAGAAGTAATGGTTCACTAGCTTGGTGAATGGTGGATAAGTCTAGAGCTCTGTAAAACTAATTAGTAATTAAAGACCCTTTTCTTATGGGCTGTTGTTTTGAAAATGTTGGCTGTCTCCATTATTTTTTGAGCATTGGAAAATTTATTTTATTCAGGCATTCTTTGCTGAGATTTTTAAACAACCACCTGTGGATTTATTTTATTAATAAGAATGTACTTCATTTAAGACACTGAGATATGTGAAGGTGAAACAGAACAGTGATGTCATTAAATTTTCATGTTCTGGTCACAGAGTGTAACTTACACTCTGGAAAGAAATGTTAAAATCCGTGTAAGATTAGTTCTAATAACATGATGGTGTACCCTTTTATATGTTCAACTTGAGGCAAAAATATAGGGGATATTCCTTGCCTTTTGCTGTGCTAGCTCAAAGCTGAATCTCAAATATTCCATTTATCCCTGTGCATTGCACTTGTAAAGTCCTGATTCAGCATCCTCCTCTCCCAGGTAGGGTCACAGCCAGGCTCAAGTGTAGGGTACTGAATGGGAATTGGGTTTACAGATACAGCTTCCTATTGCTCAGCTGTGAGCAATCCCAGGAAGATTGTTTTAAAGGCTGATTAACTGTGGAATTAATCCCAAAGTGTCATTTAAAAAACCATTTCCTGCTCAGTACAGAAAATGTGTCCAGTCTGATACATTCTCACTGGTTTGTCTCCTTATTCAATACCAAAAGGTCAACAAAACCCCAATATCAGGCCTTTTCCAACAGGGAATTATTCTTCAAAATCTCTTTGCTGGTTGCAGACACTGAGATTCTTTCCTTTGATGCTCCTGTTGGTTAAAGGATATTTCAAAAGCTTGATGTTTAACACCAGGAGAGGGAAGGGGCTGGCAGGCATTCAGAGGTCTCATCCCCAGGCTGATTATTCAATCCTGGTTTCATAAGGGAATAAAATCATGATTTACCATCAGCTTTTTCAGTTAGTTTATAAGCATTTGATGTGTGAGAAAAGGATTAGATCAATATTTTCCTGCAAAGTCAACTTGAAGATCTTTGTGAGCAACTTTGAAAATAAGACACTTCATCCTGTAAAATAGAAATACTATTCTAATTCTGGTAATTTTTGTCTGTAAAGAGATTTAAAATAGACCAAGAATGAGCAGAGATGGAACAAAATTCTGAATCTTCATTTCCTACTTAAAAATTGGATGAGGATATTCATCAATGCTGTAGCATTTTGAGGAAAGGTTCATTTGTAAACTGCTCATTAAACAATGGACAGTTCCCAGTTTCCTACTTGGAAGGAGGACATGCAAGTCCTTGAACATGCTCATTCCTAATGTAGAAGCTTCATTTTAAAACACTTCAGCTGTTCTCAAGCCATCAAGAATTTCTCATTTTTGGGTATTCAGAGGATGAGAAATCAGAACGGAAAGTCCATTTGATTTTCAATACATGTGGTTCTCTTTAACCTGGTTTTAAAGCCTTGATCAGACTCACTGTGAAGATAATATATAAAAATCTTTGTTTCACTTGCCTTTGTAGTCTGCGTTCCCAATTACAGCCAATCTTTCCTGTGAAAAAGCCACAAAAACTCTTTAATTTGGCTTTTTGAGTTGCTTGCTTGTGTAAGCCAAGTGTGGTTTTTAGGCACATATCTTTTTCTTTCCTCTATTTTTGCTAAATATTGTCAAGAGTTTACATTACTCAAGAACACCAAAAGTTTGCAGTTCAGTTAAAGTTACCATCTTTTGTCATAATTTTCCCACAATTTAACATGGTTTAAAACAGATTAATATTTCCAAGACACATTAGATGTAAATGTTGTGTGCAAGGTGTCTTGATTATAATGGCATTTTAACACTGAGGCTTTCAACATGTAATTTCTCAACTAAAAGTATTTTATTTCATAGTAATTTTTTCCAAAGTGGTTTTGCCAGAATTCTAAGGGCCAGCTTTTGGTGGTCTGGTTTTGGTGGTTTGTATTTCAGCTATTTCTCAATAATATTTTTCAGGAAAATCCAGCTATGGCTGTTGCAATCAAAACGTGTAAAAACTGCACTTCAGACAGTGTTAGAGAAAAATTCTTGCAAGAAGCCTGTGAGTATTAAGCAACTTCTTTTGGGATCATTTCTGTAACTTCTCCTTGCAAAGACTGTGCCTGAAAATTCTTACACTGCTATAAATATTTTATTAATATACAGCCTGAAGTTTTCTCCTCCTGCAGCATGTGCCAGGGGACTGCTCTAAATCCTTGCATGGCCCATGTGTGTGAGTGGATGTGGGTACTTTGATTTTCCAAATTGAGTGGTGATGTCTGACTCCTGTAGGGCTTTAGAATCAATTTTGGAACATTAGATCTCATCCTCTATTTCCTTCTTTTTTTTAAATGAACTTAAAAAAACCACAGCACTTTCTCCAGTTTATTGCTTTGGAAGGTCAGGTAGTTGTCCTTGCTAGAAATGCTGTGTCTAAGAGAGATGTGTTTGAAAATTCAGAATGAAAATCTGTGCTAGGATAGGCCATTTTTCTAAATAATTGCACAAATATTGCATTCCCTGAGTGGCACATTTCATGTATGGAGGAAGGCTTTTTGTGGGGGTGAATAGGAGCAGAAACTTTCTGAAGAATATTAAAGTTACTGATTCCTCTATTGTTTGGTTTTGCAAGCAAATGAAGATATAGTACTTAGGCCTTAATTTCTGCCTATTATCCCCTGCTGTTGTATACCTCCAAATGTTGTATTGTATTTTATTAGTGAAGTAATTGGTTGTGGTCAGATGTTACAGTATATTTTACTCACTATTCCTTTATTCAAGGAGTTTTTTCAGCTTGTTCAGAAGACCTGTGTTAATGGCTAATGGATTCTCATTTTTGAATGTCATATTTTTTGTAAATTACTGTAATTTTTTCCATTGCATTTCTATCTGTTGGAACAGTAAATAGCATTGCTTACAGTAATAACTCAGCAGTCACAAGGTAGGCTGCTGTCTCCTGGCAATGTAGAAAATAATTGCTCATTGAATGCTCCTTATTATGCTTCAAGTTTGACAGATTAGGAAATGCTGCTGTAGTCGACACATAAATAATACTTTACAATTTTGATTTCATAGTTTTGCCATTTCTTCTTCCTCTTTTTCATTCTAATTCCCATCTGTTGCCTTTGTCTTGTGTTCAGATTGCAAATTCGCTCAGAACAGTTCCTTACTTCACTGAATTAATACATTTGTTTCCTAATATTTTAATATTAGGAATATTAAGATATTTTGTGGTTTGTCTATGGTGGAGTTTTCAATGCTGAAAGGATTTAGCAGCTGTTAGTGCCTGTATGACATTTCATGTTATTTATTCCCTAAGCTATGTCAATGATAGGGATTTTTGCTTTATTGGATTTTCCCCTGTATTATTAATAACAGTAATATTTTAAAGAATATATAATTGCCCATAGATTTTCTTTTCAGGAAGATATGTTACTAAACTATTATAATTTTTGGTGTTATAAACATGATTGTCCAAGGATTTTTTGGGGGTTGTTGTGTATCCAGAAGTAGATAATTTAGAGCTCATCAGAATAGAAATCCAAAACTACCTCCTGATTTTAGCTTGTGGTTAGTGTAAAACAAAAGAAAATGGGTTTATGCTTGCCTAACTTGAGACAGACTGAAGCAGACTTTGCAGTTTGGTAATTCCTGTGTATTTCTGCTGGCACCACAAACTGCAAGTGTGGAGGAGATGCTGCTGGAGGGTCACATGAGAGATGTTTGTCAAGGATATAGGAAGGGTGGTTTTGCCATGCCTGTGTTGGAAGAGATTCTGCTCCTCTGTGGTGAGACCCCCCCTGCAGAGCTGCACTCAGCTCTGGGATCCCCAGCACAGGAGGAACCTGGAGCTCTTGGAGCAAGACCAGAGGAGGCCACAGAGATGCTGCAAGGGCTGGAGCATCTCTGCTCCAGAGCCAGGATGGGAGAGTTGAGGTTCTCACACCTACGGAAGGGAAGGCTTTGGGGACACCTTGGAGCACCTTCCAAAGGATGCCTGCAGGAAAGATGGGGAGGGACTCTTTACCCGGGAAGGCAGGGATAGGACCAGGGGTGATGGGTTTCCCTGAAAGAGGACAGGTTAAATTTGATTTTAGGATGAATTTTTTGATGAGGGTGGGGAAGCCCTGGTACAGGTTGCCCAGAGAAGCTGTGGCTGCCCCATCCTTGGAGGTGTTCAACACCAGGATGAATGGGGTTTGGGGCCAGCAAGCTGGAAGGTGTCCCTGCCCAAGGCAGAGGGATTGGAACTGGTTGGTCTTGATGGTCCCTTCCAACCCAAACCATTCTGTGATTCATATATCATACTACATAAAACATACTGTGGCTGTGCTGCCAGGACTGAAATTAACTCCATGGAAAATAAAATGGTGTAATGATTAAATAAGATTTTTGTCTATATCATAACCTGGCAAACATGTTTTTTCCAGTAATTGAATTATACAGACTTTTTTTACTTCCTCTTCCAGTAGAAAGGCACAGATGAACTGGTTGTGCATTGATTTGACAGGTTATTTTATTAACTTAGATTATGTTCATAAGCAGATCCAGGGCTGATAGGCAGAGACTGACCTGACTGGCATCTTCCACAACAGTATGCATTTTTGTGAGTGGAGAACAGCACAGCTCAAGCAATCACTCTTTCTACCTGCCCTCAGCACATGGAATGACCAGAAATTACTGCTTGCAACACTTGTTTGAAGTCTTATGATTATCTTTTGTGCTCATGGGCTAAATGCTTAACCAACAGAGATTTTTTATTTTTAAAGAAGGTTTTATGTCATGCACTGAATTCTTTGATTTCCTTTCAGTAACAATGCGTCAGTTTGATCACCCCCACATCGTGAAGCTCATTGGGGTTATTACAGAAAACCCAGTCTGGATAATCATGGAGCTCTGTACACTTGGAGAGGTATGAGAAATCCTTATGCACCTCTGCTCTCCTCTGTTTTAGCTCACAGAAAAGGCTGAAAAAACACTTCACAATACTAACACATGCTATCAAGCATGATATCATACTCCTTTGCAGAGTTACGGACTCAGAAACAGGAGTGGCAGCTTTTGACCTTCGACTCCACTGGGAGAACTGCATCACCTCATTCCAGAGTGATTTAGTCAGAGTTTTCACAGCGTTCAATTGCTGTTCCAGAGTGAGAGCATGACCTCTGTCAAGATGATGATAATGTGATAATCAGTTAAATAGCATTTGCAAACATACCTTCCAGAAGTAAACTGTACATCTTTTATTCTTCCTGAGTAATGCTGCATTTTCCCTTGAAACATTGAATTTCTTATGTTGTTTTTTTCCTGTAGAATATCTGCAGCAGGGGCCCTAGATAAGATGACTTCCCTCATTATTATATTTTTGAATGAATGCTTTAAAGAAAACTAGATCTCACTTTTTATAATCTATTTGTTTTCTTTGAACCACGTTTCTGAAAATGTGAGCTGTTGTATATTTCTATACAACATTATATGATTGTCACTGCAATTATCAAACTGCAGTACATTTTCCAAAATAAAATAGGAGGGATGGATAGAAAAACCTGTAGTGGAGAAGTCATTTTCTGTCAATAGATTTCCTTTCCAGTGCCCAAATCACCTTTCAAAGCCTTGTTTTGATGTATAAGGACACTCTAGTAATACCTTCCAGTACATTCTGCCTGCCTTATACTGGGAATAGAGCTGACAAATATTGTGCACTGATATTGGCTGCTCTGAGCTAAATACAGTTGTTTTAGCACATGTAGGTTAAAACTAATTATTAAAATTAATGCTTCTAAAACAACAGTGATCAATCTGTGTTTGGGTTGGCCAGGTCCTGTTGGGTTCTGAAGTGATTTAGGCCAAAAATGGAGGCTGCACTCATGGGTAGAAAAAACCCCAATGCTTTACTCTGGAACAGCAACAGCAGATGCTTTTCAAAAGGAGACTGAATGGAATGCACAAAATTACATTTATTTTTTTTTTTAGTTTAACACTTTTCGTGTAGAAAACCTGCTTAAATTCTAACGCAGAGTCACAATTCTTCATGGGAAGTGTTTTTCTTTTCCTCATCCAGCCTTTAAGGCCAGGAAGTCGTGCCCATTCATACTCATGTAAACTTCACAGTTTGAAATATGCCTTTTTCAGCTTTGTTATTTTCTTGTTCTAATTTCTTTCTTTTTTTTTCCTCCTTGGTGCAAAAAGCTGAGGTCGTTTTTGCAAGTCAGGAAGTACAGCTTGGACCTGGCCTCTCTGATACTTTATGCTTACCAGCTTAGCACAGCTCTTGCCTACTTAGAGAGCAAAAGATTTGTACATAGGTAAGATTTCATACATATTTAACTGTACCTGTCTCTTTGTATATGTCACTGCTCTTAAAATTTCAGGGAGTGTCATTTTTGCAGAGGTTTCCACTAAAATTACACCCTTTTCAAGGGTGACACCTGCTGGTTCACTCCTGGATTTACTTGGAGCTGGTGCCAGATTTCAGTCGGAATCATTTTCAGTTGTTGCTTTGTGGTTACAGTATTTTTTCAAGCTGTGAGTCAACTGTAATCATTCAAATATAGAAAAGCAAAACAAGGGCAGATGGCTTCTTAAGTAAAGAGGAGGGGAAAATATTTATAAAATACAAGTACTTGCTTAACCAGAAAAATGAACCTAAACTTCCTTCACGGTGTGTTTTGAATTTTACTCCCTTGAATGTGAACGTGAGTTTCTAGTGAGAAGAGACTGGCTTCACCTTCTTATCGTGAGCAAATAAGAGTTCACAAAACTCCAGTTATGAAGTAGAATTAATTTTAAACTTAAGCAATTCACTTGTGTTTAAATGCTGACTATGTAATTCTGTATATGTGTTGTGGTAATGTATAAGCAAACGCTTGTAAATTAGTAGCTATGCGTAGATATGCAGATATATATGTTAAAACATGTAAATAACAACAGGGGAGAAAAGGAGGTTGAGGGGGGATCTTTTTGCTCTCTGCAATGAGAACTTGAGCTCCTTACTAGGAAAACTCCTCTGGGACTGCAATCCTAAACCAGTTCCTTACCTTTGCAGGGCAGGAGATAAATTTTCTTCAGGTGATGATACTTCACCACTTCATGTTTTGAAGTTACTAGAAATACTGTTTCTTCTGTTTGGCAGGGATATTGCTGCTAGAAATGTGCTGGTGTCTACCACTGACTGTGTGAAATTGGGTGACTTTGGTTTGTCCCGATACATGGAAGACAGTACTTACTACAAAGGTGAGGGGACCTCTGGATCCTTCTTGCAGGCCAGTGAAAACACAATTGCTTCTCACTGTTGAGGAGCTGACCAGATTTCCTTGGTCTAGCTGGTGCATTTGTATAAAAAGGCAAGTTATTCAACACTTACTTAATGGCAGTAAATTCCTATGTGTGCTTAAGAAGAAGGAGGATCACAAGGTGTGATTTAAGGTGCAGAAAGCAGCAAATTCACATGCAGGTTCAGATGAATGCTGAGTTTGTGTTGCCATTGTATGCTGCATACTTCAGATGCTGTTGGACTGAGGAGATTCAGTACAAAACTGCCTTTGGAGGCTACTCTTGTCCCATTTTGGATGGAATACTCAGCTTTGGTGTCTCCAGCAGCTGAGAGATATGTCCTGCAGTGCCTGAGAGATGGGAAATGAGAAATGCAGCAGGAAAATAAAGATTGCTTGTTGGGTACCAAACAGTAGCATTCCAAAGCTGGTTTATATTATTAAACCATGACTACATAAATCTCATCTTTAATATTTTTCTGGTTTCATGTATTTTAAATTCTCCATTATCTGTCCCTTTACACTCTGTTGTGTTTCCTCATTTTATTTGTCTCACTTTGCTGAGCTACTTTTTAATTGCTAAGAGGGGAAATAATTTTGACGTGATCATTTCTTGGTGTGTCTTGGGGTTCATTATTGGGGTCTTTAAGGGAGTTTGGGGGATTATTATTATTATTATTTTGGGGTTTGTTGGTTCATTTTCCATTTCATATAAAGCCAAACAGTTTATGTATCAGCATTTGAAGTATTTCACTGGAGATTGGTTTTGCCTATGAGTTATTTCACTGGGAACATAATCTATTTTTGAGCTCTGTAGTGGGGATAACAGCCTGCTCTCTCTTGCCTTCCCTGTAGCTTCCAAAGGAAAATTGCCCATCAAATGGATGGCTCCAGAGTCCATCAATTTCCGACGGTTTACCTCAGCTAGCGATGTCTGGATGTTTGGTAAGTGAAAACCAAGTGGGGAGGGTTCTTTGTGTCCTCTTGGACAAGTCCAGTGTTGATTTTGACTGCTATAAATGTATAATTTCCAAATATTTGTCTCAGTTTTTACTGTGCATTCTGAAAATGTGGTTTCTTCCAGTGTGTTTTCCACCTCGGTATTTTTCTTTCCTTTTCCTGCTCAATAAGCCTGACTTTTCATGAATTTTTTACCTCTGGTAAGAATCTGACAGAAATGAAAGTGCAAAAAAATTAGCTCATAGTTATGAAAAAGATTATTTTTGTCTTTTGGTTTTGGTTTGGTTTTTTTTTTTTTTTTTTTTTTTTTTCCATTTTCAGTTGTTTTTTTTATTTAGCTAGATCCGCGCCACTTCAGAAGCAGAAAGGCCAAATGAGTAATCTTACAGCCTCACTGTGACCTGTGAGCTCACTCAGCCCTTCCCAGACCTTTCAGGCACTTGCCTGGCTCCTGCTCAGTGTGCCAAGAGACCCAGGGGAATGATGGTGGGAGGACTGGAGCTTGACATCAACCCAGTCTCACCCCTCACTCTTTGTCTTTTGGTTTTTGTTTGGTTTTTTTTTTTTTTTTTGTGTTATACCATTGTCAGTTGCTGTTTGTCTATTAATATTTTCACTTTTTATTTATGTTGATATGCATTTCCTTGCTTAATGTGCAATCATCCCATGAAATAGCGAATTTCCAGATCCTTAATGCTAGATTCACACTTAACTTGTCTTTTATAGCTCCTGGCCTCCTACAAAATACAACCAGAAGCTCATGAAATATAAGGGTAAATGGACACATCCTGAAACCTTGATCTTTTTTCCGAAATATACATTTTATATGAATCTGATGTCCTGTGCTCCAGCTGGTGCTGACTGCTGGTCTGTACAGACAGAATACAAGCTGTTAGGGAACAAAAGTGATGAGACTTGAAATAAGAGCAGGACAGTCAAGTAAGAGTTCACCTTCTTCACAATTTAAAATTTGAATGTTTTTAGTGAAGGGTTTATAATAGTTTGAAGAAAACTCTAGTACTGTCAGAGTTAGAAAAATGAAGCTTATGGAACATTTTGGCCAATTCTAAAGTGACATACCACGTTCTTCTAATGCAGTTTCAATAGAAACTGGTTTATTACACATTTTCAGCACAAAAAATGTGGATCAATGCCAACACAAAAAACCCTCAAAGTGAAAAAGCACTCTGCGTGTCGGAACACGCCAGTTGGAAGAAGGAGTCAGAGGGAAAAGCAAACACATTCTACCTCATAAGAGAGGAGATTTGAATATGAGCAAGCAGTGGTTTAGGGCAGGTAAAAGACTCTGTGAGCCAGCTGTGGGTCACTCAGTAGGTGAGGCTGGTGCTGTGCGTGTGGTTCTGCTGCAGGTAAGTCCAAACCATGTCCCCGCTTATATATTTTGGAAGAAATTGCATTATTAGTACCAAAGTGGCGTTTGTTACTCTTTTGACAGCTCTCATTGTTTGCTCACAGTGAAGAAAAGGTGGTTTTGTGTGTGTTCCTCAGGTGTGTGTATGTGGGAGATCCTCATGCACGGGGTAAAGCCCTTCCAGGGAGTGAAGAACAATGATGTGATTGGGCGGATTGAGAACGGTGAGCGGCTCCCAATGCCTCCAAACTGCCCTCCCACCCTCTACAGCCTTATGACCAAGTGCTGGGCCTACGACCCCAGCAGGAGACCCAGGTTTACTGAACTTAAAGCACAACTCAGGTAGGGTTTGACTTCTGAGAGGTCATTTCCTTTGTTCAGAAATATTTCTTTTCACTTAATCTTCTGTTACAGTGTTTGGTTCTGTGGAAAATACGAGGCATGGTGTTTGGAGTTTTTATCTTCAAATGGCCAGGTTGTTGCTGGTCTTTGGGAAAACTGTGCTTTGTCTGGTAGAGAAAATGAGATTAGGCAGCAAATTCAAATAACTGGAAATATGAATCACCTCCTTTCTCTCCCAAGACAAACTCCGCGTTTTACTAGCAATTTGTTTATAATTTTAACTGCAGTCCTTGGGAAAGGAGGTAAAAAGAATTTAGAGTGATTATCTAAACAAACATGCTGTGGGCTCTGGGGTAGAGATGTATCTTAAATAAATAAAGCATCAGGTGAATGCTGTTGGAAGTTACTTTCATGACATGTAGCACAATAGTTGCACAGTCACAGCTGTCAGAGGGCAATTGCAGAGCCTGCAGTAAATGCAGCATCACAGACAGAAATTCCTTTGCCATTTGTAAACCAGGATATAAATTACCTTTGTGTTTATCTTGGAATGAGTGTGAGCACACACCCTGCAGACCAGTCTAAATTCACACCTTAGTTTATTCTGCAGTAATATATTCCAGTGTCTGTATCACCATTTCACCAGCCCCAAAGTGGGAGGGAGCTTTGAAACATCACTGAGATAATCACAGTATAATAATGTGCAGGCACATTTGATATTTGTGACCAGATTGGGTCACAAATGTTGTGACTTTTGGATTTCATGACTGCTCAGGATGTATTTTGCATAAGTCAGTACAAGCTTTGAGTAACAGTTAGGTTTTGCACTGACAATCCTCACTGGGAATTGTTTCAGGTTTTGTTTCAAAGTTGTGCTTTGTGGTATGTTTTATTTTCATAGTTTTATGTTTTTGCTGTCACTGAATGTTCATGATTTAAGATAATTCACTGGTGGTTAAAATGACAGAATGTAGTTATGATGCTATCTCAGACCTGCTGTATGGTGAACTGGAAGACCTAAAGTTTTTTCCTATTTCTTAAAATTTCATACAATTCCATCATCTGTTACTCTGAGAATTCCCATGTAGACTAGTAATTTGTAGAACTAAGGAAAGACGTGACTATTGTCACAGATAACTTCTCATCCTCTTGGAGTTAACATAAAGGGAGGAATGTCAGGGTTGGGTAGGGATTGCAAGAAAAAGATGTGACACAGTTGTGTGATTTGGGTAATAGGTGGAAATTGACAATTCACTTGCTTTTTGTTTCTGTTTGGCTCTGAAAGTATGGGATGATTGATAATTTGCAGCCAGGTTGTACTGTTAACTTAGAGCTGGTTGGCACAGATGAGAATTAAGCCCTTAAAAGAGTGACTGGAAGATGGCTGTGGTGTGTAAACCCTAGCAGAGAGAGTATCCCACCAGGATGGAAAGAGGATGAGTAAATCTAGAGTGTGCTCAAGAGCCTGGCTTTCCTCAGAACCAGCACTCAGGGTATGCAGCAAGGCAGGGTCTCGTTGGTTACACATCAAAATGTTTCCCAGTGTGCTTGGGTGAGCTCTGAAACAGGTCACCCAGAAAGACTCTGGAATTTCCATGCTGGCAGACATTCAGATTTTGATTGGAAAAGGCTCAGAGCACCTGGCCCTTGCTGTGCAGGGAGCCCAGCTTCAGCAGAAGATCAGACTTGAGACCTCCAGGCAGCCCTTCCATCTCATTCTACATGAAAAGTGCACCCAGTGTGGAGGGGTGTTTGCTCCTCTGGTCATGCTGGGAGATTTGAAGCATTGTTTACAGGGCAACCTATCTCCTGGGGCCACTGCAGCCCTAAAATCCAGTTTTCACTCTGTTCCCACCAAAGCAGGGAACTTTCTGCCACACCAAACTGGTGACCTTTATCTCCCAAATTTAGGCAGCGTGGTTGTCCTTAGAGCTGCTTTTTGCTGCTCCAGAAAGAGTCAGCCTCTCACTGGAAAGGTTGCCAATTCCCTGATGATGAGGCAGTCTCAGGCAGCTAGGGAGGATTGGGTTTCAGAACTCAAATTCCCATGAACTTGCAAAAACAAGCTATTTCCCTGGTGGCCTTTCCCTGTGGTGTTGCTGCTGCTCCTTCTGGATGCTGTCCAGAGTAGTCTCTTGGAGCTGAGAGCAGACTGCATGTTTGCTTGGAGCCAGACACAGCACTGCAGCATTCATTCCTCTCTGGTTTAATGAAAAAACTCCATGGCTTTGGGAAAAATCTTCTGCATCTGGAATAGCACTGATGGGAGCATAAGCATTCCACGTGCTCTCTGTTATTTGGTGCTTTTCCCGTTTCATAGTAACAGCTGCTTTACCCAAACTGAATTTGCAGCTGATTGTGCAAGGCAAAGGTGCTGATTTCTGCACAATTTATGCACTGTTATTTGTTGCTACATATGAATTTAAGTACTGTTATTAGGGTAGTAATTTTATAGCATTTGATCTGTCTGAAGTGGATGTGGTTGAGTCAGTCTTCCCAGCAAACACAGAAACAAATGGGTGGATTGTGGATTTCCAAATGTAATTTATCCTCGCATTCCAAGTCCCTTCTTCAAGTGGTGGAGGGGGGTTAAAAGTCAGATTAGGTCAGGGTAGTGAGGTGCTACCCTGCTACTCCTGCAATTCTGACTTGGTCAGAATTAGAATATTTGGTTATTTTTAATTGGGAAGTGTGTGTTGCCTTGCTGGTTTTATGTAGAAGAGATGTTTTGTCTTGCAGTACATGGTAAATAATATAAAAGGATTTTAACTTTAAACTTTGAAATTAATGTCATTTCATTACATTTTCACTGTCCTGGAACAAATTTTGTTTAAAGTACCTTTCATGAACCCACTCTGCTTACAAATAGTAAACCAAGGAGGAGTTGTGTCATTGCAGAGGTGACAGTGTCACTGTGGCCCATTGCTGGTCACAGGTTTTACAGAGTGCTTGACCCCACTGGTGTCCTGGGGCTGCAGGTCACATTGAAACAGCTCTGAAAAGAATAGGGGGGAAAAAAGAAACAGATACTATTCTTTTAAAGTCTGATTTTATGACAACAGTGAAATAATGAACTGATGAGAGCTGGACTTGAGCCTTTTTGTCACTGCATTTGATGTAGATCCTGAAATGTTGCTTATAAATGAAAATTGGTGAGGGTGAGGGCAGTTTAAGTCTTCTTTTACGGCATTCTGACAAAAAAAAAAACTGTATCACATATTTCAAATACATGATGGAGGCTGCAAAATGCTTTGCTATTCTTCTGTTCTTTGCCTGTGACCATTGAGAATAGTCCATAATCCATATAAAATGCCTTCATATTAGAACAATATATGCAAGTATGTTCCTCTGCATCCAGCTTTGTATTTCTGGTAGCAGAGGCAAAGGAAGAAGCTGCTTTTTGGGGGTCAGCACTTAATGTAGGTTCCCACACCACTGTAGCAGGAGACGCTGGTGCTGCTGTGCCTTTTGGAATATGAGGATACAGTTTAGTATTTTAAATATTCCTACACTGAAGGTCCCCATAAATATTTCCTTTTCGCTGTCACAGGCCAATTTCTGTAAGAAGTTCTTTGTAAATTAAGTAAGTTTGTCAGTTATGAAAACTTTTTAATAGTTGAGATTTTTCTTGAGCCTTTACCTTGCCGAGAAATTGAATTAAATTTGTCTGTGCTACCTCAAGGTTTGCTAAGGGAACCACAGGGATAGAATTCTCTGCTTGCTCCTCTGCTGCTAAAAATATGTGCAGTTTGGGAAAATATGCCTAGATCTGACTTCTCCTGACCTTCTGCAAATTCTAATAAACTGTTCAGAGAACTTGAGCAGCTGCACTGAGGAAACGTCAAAAATATCTCTTGGCACACTCTTCCTTCATCCACAGACCGGTCTTCCCTTTGTGAAAACAAAGACCTTTCTGTGAGTCATTTCTATTCCTTGTGGTTTTTTCGAGTAGTGCTTCTCTGAGGCATTTTTATTTTATATTCTTGTCAGCAGAATCAAGGGCATCCAAGTACAGATGCTGCTGCAGCCCATCAGCCTCTGGCCAAGCTGCTCTGGGCTGCTGGGAAAGAACCTCCTGATGGCACAGGCAGTGGGAGAGCAGGGAGGATGAACTGCAGTTGTAAGGCAGAAAGCTGACTCTGTGTTAAGAAAAAGAAGTAATTCCAAAAGAAATTTGTCATTTCTGGTGATACAAGCTGATGGTGTTGCACACTGGAGCACCACAGATAGCAAAGCAGAGGTATTGGGGTTTCATTCCTTTTTATGGAAAACCAGGACTGTGCTGTGACAAATTCCACACATGGCCCCAAATTGTCAATAAGCCATCTCTAAATTTAGCCAGCTACTACCAGCCAACTCCATTCTATTCTTTTGCTCAGATTAGAGCAACTGCTATATAACAGCTTGGTTAAAAACCTCCATTTTATTAATTTCTCTTTCATTAATCTGGGCACACTTATTTTTTTTTTTGGTCTTGTTCTGTTGTGGGGTTTTTTAATCCTGAGGTCATGTCTTGAAAAATAATAATCATGGTTCGTGGTTGTTGGTTGCATGTTGGCTGCTTGCTCATGCTGCATAAAAACACTGGATACCTGAAGTGTGAGAAATAGCTTTAAAGCAGGGGGTTTGTGGGTTCAAGTAGGAAATCTTGCATTTTCCTGATTCTGAAGGAAGAGAAAGGTAAAATAGAAGGATTCTGTCTTCATTCCCTCTGTTAGCTGTAGCTGTGTTTCCATGGTAGTTCTAGCAGGGTGACTTTAGCAAATAACTTGTCTGATTTTGCTTTTATTCCACATTCTTGTCTTGCTTCAGGAATGATGGATTGAAATTGCAGCAATAGTTGTAAACTTGATTTAGCTGCAGTGAGACAAGATGACTTCTCTGCTTTTCAGAAGTGGCATAGTTTGGGGTTTTTTTGGCTGAGTAAGGAAAAGTAAAGTTCTTGTCTCCAGCAGGAATTTATTCTTGAAATAAGCAGTGAAGTTTCACGATGAGAATAGATTGCTGGAGTTGATCTCATCCCCTGAATGAGTAATTCTGGGTGGTTGTTTAGCAGACTGAACAGGAGATTATAAACTCAGAACTTAGCTTTGTTTCTGGAAACTCCTGAGTGATAAAGAAGCTGGAGTAGCTCCTCCACAGGATAGCCTTTCCCCTGGGGACAGTGATATGGAAATAATCTGCCCTGCTCACATCTCCAGACTGCCCGCGTAGCGTGCAGCTCCAAGGAATTGGCAGCTCCCTCTTTCAAAGCTTCTCTCTGAGTCTTTTTCAAATGGCAAATATCCAACATTAATAAGCCACATAGCAGAGCTGGGAGGAGGCTGGCTGTGGGGGCAGCAGGAGCACGTTCAGCTTCAAACAGGCTTTTTAATAGTCAGAACAGTGGTAAGTAGCAAACTGGTTTTACTACTGTCTTGTACTTTGTGAAAATGCAGCCTTTTGACCTGAATGCTTAGAAGCTGAGTGAATACTGTCAGATCTTTCTGTTTTGCTAAATTGCTTTGCTGAATGTGTTCCTGGTTAGGCTAAAACGTAAGAGCTGAAGAAGTATTTTTGACTGCTTTCTTTTAAAAAAGAAAAAAAAAAATCCCAGTGATCTGAAGCTCTTGAGTTTCAGTAAAGAACATTTTCGGTTTGTTTTGAACCTTTACAGCAGTTCAGTAGAATATTTTCTTGTGAAGATTAAGCTTTCATGCAAGTAAGTGCTTGATTGATTGTCTTTGAGGACTTCTCTGTGTAATTGCACATAAAAAGAACCGTTATGGAAAAAAAATTGTGTGTGAGATCAAGCACAGCTTTCTGAAAATTGATGCTGTTTTCATTGTTAAAAGCACCCTGGTAATCCTACAGAAATATTTCTTCCTGATACTGGTTTTCAGACACAAAACCAGTGTATATAAAGTTTGGCTTTCGGTAATTTTATGGCATTTCAAGTTAAGTACTGTTTATTAGTCTGAAAAATGCAAGAGCTGTGGGGAGAGGTTTGTTAGTCACTGAAACTGGAGTTTTGCTTGATTGCAATGTGTTTTCCTTAGTACAATACTGGAGGAAGAGAAGCTGCAGCAAGAAGAACGAATGAGAATGGAATCCAGGCGACAAGTCACGGTGTCCTGGGACTCAGGAGGATCAGATGAAGCTCCTCCCAAGGTAGCTAAGACTGCAAATTACATCTGTTTAACAAAAAACAAACAAACTTTCTTTTTATTCCATTTATTTCTTCAAAGCCTGCCCTGATGGGTTGGTTCAAACCACGGCATTTTGGCCAGTTCTGTCCCCATCTGGGAATTTTTGCCTGAAATGACCCAGCTCTGCTTGAACTGTGCTGAGAACTGATCTGGGCTGTGATACTGCTTTAAAGATTTTCTGTTGCTACTCGAAATTGTAAAAGAAACCCATAGCTGCCACAAAACTGTCTCCTGGCTTTTCCTTTTCCTTCTTGCTTGTAGCACTCCTGTAAATTGTTGGCTAATGAGCTCTCAGGCCAGCGTGAAGTTTCTAAACACATTAGTGACAGGACAGGAGTCAGCTAATTGCATTTTCCTTCTTCTGGACAGAAAATGAGGGGTTTGTTTCCAAGGAACGTACGTGGTTCAGTTTCCACTTCATTTTCATTTCTGTCCTGTTTGGATGTCACTGATGGGTTCTGCAGCTGTGGGAGTTCAGCCTCACCAGTTCCCTCTCGGTCTGCTTCCCCTCAGAGTTATTTTTGCAATTTTTGTTGCTTGAAAGTTTGAGCCTGTATTTTGAAGAATTTAAATTTTGTGCACTCACCACTGTATTGTCTGTGTCCTGATAGCTTGTGGTGAATTCCTGGAGCTCCCAGGTTCTGGGATAATAATTAATTAATATTAATTGTGATAATAATTCCAGGAGTACTTTTGTGGTGCCTTGTGCTGCACACATTCCCCAGTACTCATAGAAAGGCAACTTTTTGTTTTGGTTTGAAGGTAGGGGGAGGATTTGTTTGTCTGGGGATTTGGGGGTGTTTTTCTCTCTATTTTATTTCCAGGTTGTTGCCTGATAGATCAGATTTCTGAGCACAGCTCTGCGTTTTGGTACCTTGATGGCAAGCAGAAAATGTGGGAGTGGAATTACTGCTTTCATTTCAGAGTTAGAAACAGCAAACAATCCATCAAGCTCTTTAGTCATCTGAGATGCATTAGCAGGGTTTGGTGTTTATCTAAACAGACAATGTTCCAAGTTACAGAAGCAGATAAATTGCATAAATTGGACCAGTATAATGCTTAATTTGAAATGAGCACCTTTGTGTGTGATGTATGAACTGAAACACTTGACCAAAGGTGTGTTAAAAATGCAGTTAATTCTTCCACTGGAGAGAATCTGTTTTGAGGGGCTTGCCATGTCCTTGTAGAAATACACTGTATTTCTGATGCTGTTGTTGGTTAGGTTTTTTTATACATTTCTTTTGTGTAAAATATGGATATGCTTAATAATGGCATTGGAACAAGTGGAATCTTGTATGTATGGGGTTTTAAGTGTCTCTTTAATTATTAGCTAATTTTCTAATGTGACAACTGGTTTTTTTTATTCTTTTGCTGATTCATTGTAAGTGTTGCAGATTGTTGCAGGTCTTAAAACTCCTGCACATCCTCAAACAATTACCAGGTCTGACAATCCATGCTATGAAATCACTTGTATCTCACAGTGATATTTCTGTTAGAATCCTAAGACAGAAAACATCCTAGTCCAGAATGAGAATGAATTTTTTCATCAAGCAGTGATAAATTCTGCAGTCTCCACTTAATGTGGTTGCCAGAAGGACTGAGAGCCCTTTGCAGAATGATGAAGTTTGGGTTTTTTTCCCCTCTTTGGTTAATTTTTCTCCTCCTGAAATACCCAGCAATGCTGTTCCTTATTCAAAAAGAAACCCTTAACTATACCTGTGGAGATTCAGAATATGATCAAAAGCACTTTCCATGTTGAGGTAATTAGCTACACAGAAGTTAATCATCAGAACTAACTTTATACCTCAGAATACCACATGGCAATAGCCATGCAAATAAATCCATTTGGTTTGTCTTAATTCTTACTGAAGCAAAAGAATTTACTTTTGGGAACAGTCACAAAAGCAGCAAATTAACAGCAGAAATTGGAAACAAGGCTGTATTGCACCTAGAAATTTGATTTAAGACTTAGGTTCTTAGATGGTGTTCTCTCTAGAGTTGAACAGAACAGAGCAGGTCATTGAGTGCAAGCAGTTAAATAAATACAAAGAATTTTCAGAGCAAGAATTATTTATTGACATACCAAGCAAACAATTCAGCTGCATCCATTGCCAAGCAAAAATGGAGGAAAACTTAATTTTAGTTGTTTTAAAAGAGTGTTTGTAATTACAGAAAATCTGTTTTGGGGTTATTTTCAAGTTTGCCAAACCTGTAAATGTTTGTCTCACTGAAACATAATTTTCTGCTTAGTTGTGTATGTTTAATGATTCTAAAAATTCCTTTTTCTTTACAGCCCAGTAGACCTGGTTACCCCAGCCCCAGATCCAGTGAAGGGTTTTATCCAAGCCCACAGCATATGGTACAGCCAAATCATTATCAGGTATTGCATTTAATATTACACTTAATGCCATGTATGTTTTGGGGTGGTGTTTTTTGGTTTTTTGGGGGGTTTTTTTGGTTTTTTTTTGTTTGTTTGTTTGTTTTTGTTTTTTTGGTTTTTTGGGTTTTTTTGGGTTTTTTTTTTGTGTTTTTTTGTTTGTTTGGTTTTTTTACAAATGTGGGTTCTGTATCCTAGATGCAGCTGGTGGGATTGATGTATTTCTTACATGGTTTATTTTAATTCAGTTCAGTTCTGAATTTTGTTTTACATAGGAAAAAAAACCCCAACTGAGCCTGGTAGGTTTACTCCAGATGGCAAATATTTCCACATCTGATGTGGTGCTCGGATTCCTGAAACTGCAGCAAAACACATCAGACATTTCCATATTTATTGAGGGAATGTGGTGTTCACGTTGGCATTTGTGCTGAGCTGTGAAATCACTGGCTTTATAAAATGGCATCAACTGGGGGCCTTTCCTTGGGGTCATTGGTATTTTATTTTCTGTGTCCTGATAGCTGCTGCATTTAACCCTACCACATTGTATACTCACAGGTTTTGCTTTTCTTCCTAAAACTGCTGAAGAAATTCAGAACAAAAGGTTGTCTTTAAAGGACTTTAAGCAATTTTAGGTTTGTTCAAGGCTACAGCCATATTACAACTGTCTCAGTCAAGGGGATCTTTTCCATGAAGAGAGGGAGGTTTTCATTGATTTAATAAGTACTTCAGCTCATTAAAACTACTTGGATTTTCCTGTGGAGAAGTTCCCAGGCCACTCAGCTCAGCACACTAACTACATGCTGCCACTCAAGCCTTAAGCCTGTGAGATACAGCAGGGGGTACATTTTTATGGGGCTCTGTAGGGTGATGTTTGCAGGCCCCTGTTAACTGGGACATGAGCTCTGCATGTGGAGCTCTTACATATGTATCTATAGATTGAGTTTTGTTCTCAGAGGACTTTGATCTCCTTGCCTGCAGAGGTTAGAGCATGCTCTGATGCTGCTGGTTTGATAGGCACCATGAAATACTCATCCTTAAAAGCTGTATTTCTGTACTGTTGCAGTTATTCTAAAATAGTTATGTTATTATGAGCATCATCAAAGACTTAACACAGAGGTGTCATATTTTGGATCAGCTTCCTTCTTCTGATGTTGCTTCCCCTTCTTCCTTTCAGTGACTGCTTGAATTGAGTCATTTGTCTGCTTTCATGTCTTGGAGGGAATGTTTCCATTATGGGGAAGCACAGGTCTTACTAATATCTCTGGTTTTTATATTTTTTTCTTGCCCCTGTGGGGTTTTTTACTCCTTAAAGGTGTCTGGCTATCCTGGTTCTCATGGAATACCAGCCATGGCAGGCAGCATTTATCCTGGGCAGGCTTCTCTCCTGGATCAAGCAGATTCCTGGAACCATCGGCCTCAGGAAATATCAGTGTGGCAACCAAACATGGAGGTAGGAGATCTGACACATCTGCTACTATGTTCTGTACAGTTCAGTGCACTTTTTATTATTATAAATTGTATTACTTCTATTATTTAGGTAGATCTGTTACAGGAAAACTGAGTTTTTCCGGTGCTTTTAAAATTGCCTTACTGCAGTGGACTAGGAGTCAGGACTGAATTGTTTTTTAAACAAATCCTTCTGTGTGAGGCTGGGCATGAAGTGTCACTTCACATGAATTCTTGATGAAGTTGTTACTACTTATCTAACTGAGTGATAGCAAATATTTGGTGTTTGTTAAGAGAAGGCTTTACTGGAACTTAGTGCTGTTCACAGAGATGGGAACACTCATAAAAAAACCCTCTTGGGAGATACCCAGCACAGCTGAAGGATTGAGGCTTCTTTGTGACTTACCCAGAACAGAAAATGAAAGGATCTGAAGGATTGTTCCTGAGCTGAATTCCTTCTGGGTGCTCTCCAGCCTGTCATGACTGCACTGAGCTGCTGAGGAACATCAAATTAATTCCCCCTTTAACCTTCTGTCTTTTTTTTTCTGTTCTCTGCTGTTGTACACTTTTTAATTCCATTTTTTCCTTCCACAAAGATTCAGTTTGTGCAGCTTCTGTCTTAAATTTTTTTTCTTCTCTAACTAGGTCTATTCCCTGTGTTCCTGATAGACATTTAAGTGGTCTGTGAAATACAGGGAGCTTTGTTACCAAATTTCCATTGGCTTTTTAAAAAAATACTAATTTATGGACTATTTCCAAATGATTTCCAGGCAGCATTGGGGTATGGTATGTGGAGTATTTGTAAGCTTAAGACATCCATAAACATTTGGTCAAAAATTAATTAAAAAATGTTTTTATGACATGCTTTGTAAACTTAAGACAGCCATAAATATTTGGTCAAAAATGTATTAAAAAATGTTTTTGTGACATGCTTTGCCACTGTTGGCTAACACTGAATAATGTATTTGTTTTGATTTTAAAAAATGTATCTTGCAGCTTTTAACAACTGGATATTTACATTATTGCTCAAGACCAAGAAAACAAAATTCATAAGTCTGATTTTGTTGTCCAGCTTAAATGAAGTGCAATACAGGAAGTGACAATGTTGCTGAAAAACAGAACAGAATCTTTCAGATCTTTTTTGGTTGCAGTGACTAAGAGCAAGGCAGATAAAAACTTAAGGGTTGGAAGGAGTTTCCTCCACTGCTCTGCTTCAGCTTTTGAGGAGCTGAAGAAACTCTGCTTGACTGCTGCTGAGAATTGACTTCTAAAAAAACTTTCCTTTTATAATCTCTGAGTTCTTGCACCTGTTCATAGGAATTTTAAATAGTGAGACTGAGTAAAGTTCCTGTGGATTGCAGGATTCAGGCACTTTGGACATCCGGGGGATGAGCCAGGTTCTGCCCACACACCTCATGGAGGAGAGGTTGATACGACAGCAGCAGGAGATGGAGGAAGATCAGCGCTGGCTCGAAAAAGAAGAACGATTCCTGGTAATTCTTTGTTTCACAGAGCTTCTTAATTCCTCCTGATTCTTAGTTTTTGTATTGCAGCTGGTTAAAACTGGTCACTTCTGTGAAATGAGAAAATTTACAGCATACAGGACCCCAAAATGTGGGCTTGGAAACAGGTTTTAAAATAAGTGTTTGGCTAGTGAGAACTGTATTTCACATCTCTTGAACAGCTGTGGCTTTTGGTGAATCTCATTTTATCCAGTTGATTGTTTGTGTGGGGGAAGTTGTGGGTATAATTCTGTGCCCATCTGGAGGTTGCCTGTTTGTTCTTACACAGAACTCTACCCCTAAAGAAGATGTAACCATCAGCCATCTAAGGGTTGTGGCTGTGCTAAGAGTTGTACCCAACCTTCCCCTAGAGGAATAAGGGCACATATTAGTGGGAAGAAATAAGAGAGAGCTCTGTGAGAAGGGGCAAAGCTCTGAATCTCACCACGAGCAGGAAGAAGAAATCATTGGTAATGGGATGTTCTGATGCTGTGTCTCTGCAATTCCACAGTTGTTTGTTGTCAGTGCCACTGGTGTATGTTTTTCTGGTACAGCTCTGGCTTTCCACTTGTCTAAATTCAAATTGAGTGTTAAATTTCTCCTACTTGAGGCTGATGCTGCAGATGGAGTAGAAGGTGGGAGTAGAATGTCACCAGGAGCCTGTGGGTGCCTGAGGGTCACAGAACAGGGACAATGGACAGTGCTGTGTGTGGGTTGTGACAGACAGCAGCCCTGTGCTTGGCCTTAGGCACATTTCAAGGAATGTTTCAGTTTGGAAATCTCCTGTGTTGGAGCTGCTGGTAGATGCCTCCATGTCCAGGACATTTTCTAGCTGAGATCCACATTGTGCCTGAGCTAAGTAGTGACTTTTGATTAATGGGTGTTGAAACTGGTTTCCTTCTAAGTCCCCTTGGGAATTTGCAGTTTCCCATTGGGATGACAGCAAACAAACCACTGTGCCCCAATTTCTTGGTCTGAAGAAAGGGAGGGAAAAGGAAAATTTCTTCTCTAATTTAGGCATTAGCTTTTCCAGTCTTGTGTGGCACCAGTTGCTTGTGACCTACACAACCCAGGAGGTCAAACTCATCCCACTGACAGTTCAAACTTTAAAGATAGTAAAGAACTTTTTGTGGAATCAGCTTTCTGGGAATGAGGCATTGACATTGCAGGTGGTGGCAGTAGGTTGTATGGGAACTTTCTGCAGAAAACTTTCTGATTTTTTGTGTAGAATAAATGATGATTATTTGTAGTGTTTGTTGATTCAGTCTCTGGACCATTAGGGTGTTTATCATCCCCCAAATTGACATTGAGAAGGAACTTGCTGATTTTTCTTTTATCTGTAATACACTCATAGCATGTGTTTGGGAGAAATTTGCTGTGTTTCCATTTTGTGTTAGTTTTGTTGTGAGGAGACACCATCTCTCTTGCATCTGTTCTGTTGAGGAATTAGAATCCATAAGAGACTTCAATTCTTTTTCTTTCCACATTAATATTTTGACTGTACAGACTTTGAGGTTCACCGTTGGATGCCTATTACGAATTTATACTCCCTTTTAGTTGCTAAATGAGCTGCTGGTAGCCACAGCCTTTGAGCCTATAGCAGGATGTGTGTCAGGAGAATATTCAGTTTATAGATGGGTGTTTCTTGGAAAAGGAATGTGGGTGCAATTCTAGGTTTAGCCCTGAGGAAGTGAAGATGTGGAAAAGTCATTGTGGGGAGTCACTCTTGGAAGCCTTACAGGTCTCCTGAAGGATATCTACACTTCAGACATGAGAGTCCAGACGTGTGAAAACGAGTAATTTATTGAGGCATTAAGGCCATATAATGATGTCCAGCATAGAATTAAGCCAGGTATTACACACACATGCGCCTTGGCCAGTGTCCTCTAGTGAGTGACAATTGACATTTGTGCCCTGGGAAGAAGGGCCTCCCCTATATTCATTCCAGGTGATTTAGGGAGAAGAAATCTGGCCCTTCCTTGCCTGCTTTAGACAGGTTTCAAATAATATTTGTCCTTTTCAGCACAGAGAACAACAGAGTAGAGTCAGATTTTAATATTTAACTTACTTAACTATAATATTTAACTTCTGTAACCATGTGTAGTGCTCTCAGTGTAAACTGTCTGCTTCCAAAAACAGCTCTATTTACTCAATCCTCAGGCTCTACAGCACATCCCACTTGTACTACTGAGAGCTGGACTCACAGGGGAGCAACTGCAAATGATTTATTGTAAGACACTGCAAGAAGATGAAAAATCCTCTGTGGGTTTCTGTTAGTACAATTTTTGTTTCCCCAGAGTAACATCAACTTGCTCATGACTTGAAATTTATTGCTGCTTCTGCAGGGAGAAAATACAACTCACAGCACATTGGTCCAGGGATAAACAGCACTGATGCTGCTGGAGGGGACTCCCCAGATGGGGAATTCAGTGCAGTGGCATTGAAATGGAAATGTGCTGGTCTTTGGGGATGTTGTTATCAGTGTAAGCAGTTTGCCTGAAACTGGTCCTTGGAGAACATGGGACTAGTTAGTACTTGAAAGCATAAACATGTTGTTTTCAAGCTGCAGCCTTAATGTAATCCAAAATTCTGGAAATTCTGCTGTAAAAAGAGAAAACAAACAGGTCTCTCCTGGTGGGAAGCTCACAAATGAAAATAAATCCGTTGTGCAAAAACTGAAGAGTAAGGAGGTGTTTGATTTTAAATTGTACCAAATACATTCATTGGAAGTGAGGAGAGAATTGATGAAGGGGTTGATTTTGGGGAGTCCAGGACTGACACTCCTGCCCAGCCCCTGACAGGGAGGGGAGGCAGCACTCCAGGTCTGCCAGCTTTAATGGACACTGATTAAAACTTGATTAAATTTTCATGCTCTGTTGATAAATGTGCTGTGGAGATGAGCATCTCCAGGAAGGACAGAAATAGGTGAATTATTTTTGAGAAAGCTGAAATGGAGACACAAAACATTACTGCACCTAAAGCTTGATGCAGATGACTACAGGACACAATCTCTGTCCAGGGCACATTCAGGTAGAAGATGAAATGGCTGCACTACAAACAATGTAAAACAATCAAAAATTATCTCTGACCATTTCATACATCTCTTCTTTTAGGCCTATTTAATTGCCTGCTTCTTCCTTTATTTGGAGTTTCCACTTTGAACCTTCCTTTCTGGCTGTGCTGATGTTATGTACATTATTTTTAATCAGATAAATAAAGATACATATATGTGCATGCCTGTTAGTAACTCCTCAGCAGACAGAACAGTTTTGTACTAAGAAATTTATAGTCCCTTCTGGGATAGCTTAAGAAGAAATAACTCACATATTTTCCTTATCATGCTTGGGTTTGTTGTTTTTTTTCTGAAATTCCCACATAGCTGTGGTTTTTGTCCTATTTTGACACTGAGAACTGCAATTCAAGTCTAATTGATGTGAACTGTTGCTAAAATAAGATTCTAATTTTAAGCCTGAGAAAATCCCACCAAGACATTACAATTCAGCATGTCCTGAGAACTCCAAGGCTTACATATTCTTTTATTAGCAAGTAACCAGAAATACTGGAAATAAAGTGGATTATGTCCCACTTTGTCAACATACACATCCTGTCTGAAAATTCCTCTTGACATTTCCAAAGATTTCAGATAGTAGGCTTATTTATTTAAAAAAAAAATCCATTTACTTTTGAAGGACTTCATTTTCTGCAAGATTTTAACAACATACAGTTCTTTCTCTCTGTGGTTTTTGGAAGTCCAGAGCCATGGCAGGGGCTGGGAAGATGGTGGGAGGGTGTTCTTTGGGGCTGTGAAATGGTGTGTGAAGTACAGAACGGGTTTGGTGTTTGTTGACCTAGAGAATGTTGAATTAAACATCTGAAGGATCTCAGAATTAAAAATTCGGCAATGCATTGCTGTCATTGCAGCACAAGGGGCTCAAAGCTCTTGCAACTGCAGAAGTGGAAGAATTGCTGCTGAATAATACTTTAAAATACAATGGGAGTTTGATTGTCAAAATCACCTTTACTGTACAATAATTTGCCTTCTGACATTTCCACATCTACTCAGAAGAATAAATCAGAAAATCATTTAGTCAAATGGCAGTTGTTAGAATTTATTAGAATGTTAAAGTCAGTAAATATATAATTGGGACTTTACTCAGTCATGGGACACAAAAGTTGAACGTTTCTCTTTTGCTCCATGTGTTCCTGACTACCCAGGTTTTAATGGAGCTTTTGATGGAGAATGCTTGTGGAAGTTGAAAGAAGTTTCTGTCCTGCTAAATGATTTTTTCCTTATTTCTGAGGTGTAGCTGTGCAGGTCACAGGGGTGCAGCTGCTCAGAGTCCCTCACCTTTGCCATCACCCCCTGGCACTTGGGATCTGCAGTTTAGGATCATGTTCTTGGAGATGCCAGGGCAGCACCACAGCCTTGCTTGTGTGGAGGCCAAGTTAATAATCACCATTTTTGTGATATTTGATGAGCATTTGCAGCTTTTCTGTGCAGCAATTCCTGGGCTGTGGGTTGTGTGCTGTCCAAGATGGGCTATCCTGGAGAGAACTCAACGTGCTATACTTTGGCTGCTGGTGGAGAGTTGGGGAATGGAATTGTTGCTGTGACTTGGAGTCTTTGGATGCTGGAAGGAGGGACCTTCTTAGCAAGACAAAGAGAGGAGATGGGTTTTGTGTCTGCTATTTTAAGTTTTTGCTTATATTACTAGGAAAAAAAGTCCTGTTACTTGGACTAGTGTGCATTTTTGTGCTTCTGACTCTTTTAAAATGCTCAATATTTCATTGTCTCTGGAGTCTGGTTTGAGGAACGTGTTCTAGATGGTCCAAGGGAAGGTGTTGGAATGAGATGGTCATTAACGTTCTTTCCAGTCCAAACCATTCTATGGTTTAAGGTGCATTTTTTGAGTAATAAATTGCTATAAGTGCAAAAAACATTAAAATATAAAATAAATGATAGTAATAAATATATTCTATAATGATAGAATATATAGTCTTTGGTTATTTCCAAAGAGTTTGGGCACTTTCCTGACTAGAAATGAACATGAAACAATGGCAAATTGTGAGCATCAGTGTAGTAGAAATGTAGTTTGTCATATGCTTTATATGGATATTTAACAAGAATAGCTGTTTGATTTAGCTGAAGAATACAATCATGACCTTACCTGTCGAGTGAAGTTTCAGACATACTCAGATCAAATGAGACTTTAATCAGAAAAAATTCCTTTATCGTAATAAGGAAATAAACTGGAAATGAGTCAGTGGTAGGTTTCTTCTTGAAATTTTTTACAAATTCCTGGAAAAACATGAGGAGACCACTTGTGTCTGTTTCAGTTCTTCACGTTTAAGAGGGGGTTAAATGCTTCCCTGTCTGATATGATTTTCTATTTTTAATCTACACATTCTTTCAGGCAGTGACTGTCTCTGGCTGTGCCTCACTCAGTCTGCAGAAGACTGAATGAAAATCCCAAATGTTAGCCCTTCTGACTGACTGGCAGCACAACTGGACTGTTTTTAATGACAGAAGATCAATATTAGTGTGTTGTTGCAGGTTCTTTCTGCCCTGCTGGTTTTTAGGGTCATTTATGAGTTGGAATTATTCTTACAGGAGGAAGGAATCTCAAATAGCTTTAAAACAAGAAAAGGATGTGTTCGTCCCCCGAAATTAAGTCTGAAAGAACATGTGGTCAGTTTAGTGACACTGTGTTTAGCTGCACCTACATTTCTCTAAATAAAAAATGTTATTTTTATGTTGTGTGTGACCATTTTATCCCTTGAGCTATCAGTGACTCTTCATCCAGTCTCGTAAGAGAGAGTCAGATGAATCCTGTTTTTAAGCACCAGAATTGGTGCACAAGCACACTATAATTTTGCTGAACTTGTGTCTTCAGATCAGTATTAACTTCGGCTTCACATCCACTATTCCTTTGTCTTTCCATGTCATCAACATTGTCCTTGAAGAATAAATAAAACATACCTGGATTTGCTGGGGAGATAAGTGGGGTTTTCCTGTGCAGGGCCAGAAGTTGACTTAGTGGTTTTTGTGAGTCCCTTCCAACTTAGGATATTCTGTGAGAAAATGTTTATGTGTGAAAAAAAAACCCCAATCAAAATCGGTGTGGTTTTATTTTTGCTTTTAGAAACAACCAAGCCCCAGGTTCCTGTATTGTGCTGAAAAGACATGAAATATAAATTTGTTTGCTGCTTGTATGGGAAGCAAAGGGCATCTGGATGGCTTTGTTGGCTGGCTGTATCCACATGGAGTGTTTAGAGAGCTCCAGTAATTGGCCCCATTTGCTTGGAGAGGGAGCCAAGTACATTTAAGCCATCCTGGGGCAGGAAGTGGGAATTAATGTGCAGCATTTCTCATCCTGTGGTTGGAATTTTGCTGTTGGGAAGCAAGCTTTTTTTTTCTTGTTTTTTTTTTCTTTTCTTTTTTTTTCTTTTTTCAGGAAAAATCCCCAATTTTTGCTGCCTTTGAGAAAACTAAAATACAGATTTTCCGGTGTTGTGTCAGGACAGTGGTACTTTGGATGTTTATCAGAGCATTTCATTCCTGTGCTGGGGGCGGGTGCTGGAGGAGCAGCCGAGGCTCCGGTGGCGGCAGCGGGGGCGCAGGGGCTGGAGTGAAATGACATCTGGATTTGTCAGTGTGCATTTTTAACAGGATTTTCCTGTCTTTCCACTGCCTCTAAGCCAAGAGCACATCACTGGGTAAGCAGAGCACAGAGTGAATCGTTGGATTTTTGTTTCAGAAACCCGACATGAGGCACTCCAGAGGCAGCATCGACCGGGAGGACGGAGGTCTCCAGGGCCCTGTAAGTGTGGGGGATCTTTTCCTCTCTCCCAGCTCTTCCTCCAGTTTATGGTGGAACATGCTGTACACTGTCTTGGGGGTGGGAGATGATTTAAAGGTTTTGCTAAACGTTTCCACTATTACTGCATGGTGGTAGAGCTTTCCAAGAGGCTCAGCTTCTGTGGGAACTGCAGCCACAGCAAAGCGGTTCCTGCGGCAGTTTGGGAGATTTAGCGTTTATTGGTTGTTTTTGTTTTTTTCGCCTTGAAGCTGTTCTTGAAACAAATATTAAAATGTTTCCACAAATACGTTACAACAATTTCCAAGTGCTCATGTACTGTAGAATTGGGCCTTTTATTTAAAAATGGGGATTGTTTTCTGCAAATTCTGTCAACAGGAAGCATGATAAAAGTAACTTTTGCAGTTGTTTAAATATCTGAAGGGTTTTCTCACAAGGAATGTAAATGTTGCTGTTGTATTACCCAGAAATCTGTTTGGGGTAAATGATCCCCTATGAAACAATTGGAATAAACCCCAGAGCCATTCCTTTATTCCCAGACAGCAGCTGCAGCTCGGTTGTTCTTTCTTAGTGGCTTAACTCCTGTCTGTTTAACTAAAACCATCTCTTCAATTGTTGAATTGCCATTGGAATCTCTGGATCATCCTGTTGGAAAAGGGGGATTAGGCTAGGCACTGTCAATGACACAAACTTGGTGCTTCATCCACTGTTTCTCTCCAGGAAAGTAGTGGACATTTTAAATTCATCCTCCTGTTTCATTTGGGATGCAGTTGTAAACTCCTGCTTTGGCTTCAGCATTTCTTCACTTTTTAAGATTTCAGGAATTCTTCCTGCATTTGCAGCCAAGACAGTCATGAATGAGTGTATCAGTGACACACTGCAGCACGGTCTCTGGAGACATTCATGTCTGGAAGCTCTTAAGATTTTTTCCATGAATTTGGAGAAGATTCTAGTTACTGTTAGGCCTTGGCTGTTGTTTTATCTTTATATAAGAGCAAGAAAAGTGTTGCTGCATTTTGTGCTGCTCGTGAAGATGCTTTGAGATGCCCAGGAGATTTTCAGGTCATGTCACAGATTCCAAACTGTTTCAAGTCCTGTCTGTCCAGATGAGGTGGTCCAATATCACACCCCATTTGAAATAGTGTGAAGAAAACACTTCATGATCATAGAAAAAATGGGTTTTAAAGGAGACTCTAATTCATGGTAACTATATTTCTAGTCACAGAATTCGATCTTGTAGTTCTCAGTAGATTCAGAACATAACTCTGACTTAATTAGCAGTGGGAAATGCTTAATGCTGCTGTGAGTCAATTTGAGTTTCTGACTGAGAGGATGAGAAACTGGGCAGTGATACAAATGAGAAGTTACCACCCACATTTTGGCAGTTCCTGTCTGATCACATTCTTTTGACCTGTACTTTCAATACACAATTTTGTGGAAGCAAAATGCAAGAATTGTTTTTGTGGGATACCATTCTTCTGCCTCTCTCTTGCTCTCTTTCTTTTCCCTTGGGGTTATCAGATTTGAAACATTTAGGTTAACAGCACAAATCAAAGGTAATGACATGACTCAATGCTTCTGCTTCATGTCCCTGTTTGTGAGGTGACCAACCTCACAGAGCAACAGACCAGTGTCATTTCTGGTTCTCCTGTTGTTGACATTTTTAAAAAGCCTTTCTTGTGGTGCTGTCCAGCTGAAACTGCAGTCAAGCTTTGTCAGCACCAATTCTCTCCCTGCAGTGGCAAACAGCATCTCTGTAGAGACGCCACCTGTCCCTGTTTCCAAAGTCTGTACACTTCCATTGTCCACCTAAGCTCTAGAAGATCCCTGCTCTGCCAGGCCCTTTTCTGCCCTGCTTGCTTGACTTCCAGCACTCTGGAATTGTGCTCTTTAAAGATTGCTCTTAAAAATCAGCTGACATCCATGGACTCCAGTTCTTTCACAAGCAGATTCCCAGGGGACCTCGCTATTTCCTGGAAAGCACTCAAAGTTCACTCTCTCCATAGCCAAGGTTTTGCTGGAATTTTTTCTCCTACCTCCAACAATTTGAAGCTCAGGTCCTTTGTGGATGCCATGACCGAGGCAGCCACTGCTCAGCACTTGGCCCATGAGTCCCTCTCTGTTTACAAACAACAATTCCAGGAATCACCTTTCCCACTCAGCTTCCTTAATACCTGAAGCACCAAGAAGTTAACTTTCACAGGAATTTCCTGGACCTCTTTGTGTCCACTGCGTGATATTTCCAGTTGAATTTTGGGAAGTTAAAATTACCCCTGAGGGCCAGGGCAATTGACACAGAGATATTCCTTAATACTTTATAAGAAATTCTTCCAAGTGGATGAGCAAATGGGCCTTGACTAAGAGCTTTTCAACAAAACCAAAAAGCAACCAGCTTCGAAGCGTGTTCCCATTACAGAACCATTCAGCAGGAAGTTCTGGAGTCACTTTCTTGTGTTGTCATTTCTCCTTCACCACCATGACCTCTACAGTTGGATCTGTGGACACAGACTGAAAATGCCTGTGACTGTCTCACCACCTTTGAGTAATAAGGAAGGATGAACTGCAATGTGGAGGCCAGGGCTATTGTGAGCAGTACAAAATACATGCAAATTCTTTTATTGCTCTGTAAGTAATAGACCTGTAGTGAGGCACTGATGATGGTGAATTGGGATGTGTTTTCAGCTGGTGGGAAATGTGCTGAGAGCTGGCTGCTCTTGTGTTTGAGATTGAGATAGTGCTGATGAAAGATTTTGCAAGATATTGCAAGCACTGCAATAAATACTTTATATGTTTATTTTATTTTATAGGCTGGTAACCAGCACATATATCAGCCTGTGGGAAAACCAGGTAAGCAGTAAATGCAGATACTGACATTTTGAGTAATTGATTACAAGTCTTGTAGCAGCAGTAGTCAACAAAAGTTCATGGCAGTATTTCCATACAGAGTGGATTCAGTTCCAGGTACTACACATTGATGTTTGTGTCCTGTGTGTTCAGGGTCCTCCTGCAGGCCCCAGACATGCAGTCAGCAAAGCCAAGGAAGTGTTTAGATCAACAAGCAGGAAATGTCTAGAGGAAGCTGAGTCAGAGTGGGAATTCACCCAGGGTGGAGTTCAGACATGTAAAACAGCAGTAGACACCTAAAATTGGGTTTCTCAGTCTCAAAAGTGAATCACACCACTTGCTGCTGGGAAGAAGTGCAGTTTCCCAGATACACACAGCATGTTGGCACTCAGCTGTGGTACCAGGGATGACACCATCTCAGGGCTGAGGTAGCTGTGCCCAGAGCAGTAGCAGTTACCCCACAAATGGAGTTTCAAATATTTAACTAAAACAATCCTGCTCTCATAAAGTGCAGCTCCCACAAACAGTGCATTTACTGCAGGACACCTAAAGATGTCCCATCTCTGGCAGAGAAGAGCACATACAGAAGGGTGCCAGGTGCATCTGACGCATTGCTGCTCTAAAAACACAATTTTTTTGTCGAGCAGATCACGCAGCTCCGCCAAAGAAGCCTCCGCGCCCCGGAGCCCCCGGGCACCTGGGCAGCCTCGCCAGCCTCAACAGCCCTGTGGACAGCTACAACGAGGGAGTGAAGGTAGGGAAACACCCCCCAGGAAATGCAACATTACCAGGGCCACGTGAAATAGCCCAGCCAGACAAACATGACAGCTCTGAGGTAGTTTGGTGTTCCTGAAGTAGAGACCGTGGAAAGCAAAGGGGACCAAAGTTCATGAGTAAAGTGTCATGGGGCAAACACGCTCTGGCAGCTCTCCAGGGGAGTGGGGAGGGAACTCAGGTTCTCCCTGGCTCTAATTTAGTGTGCTCCTCACCTAGAACCTGCCCAGGTGAGCTTATTTCTAGTTTGAAATGATGAGGTGCCAAATGGACCCAGCTCCCTGTTGAGCAGGATGGAGCATGGCCAGGGATCCCAGTTACTCAGATGGTACCAAAGTCTCCTGTCCTTGGTCCCAGGAGGTGAGACCTCTCCTGCAGTGCTCAAAAAGCTCTTGCTGGAGCACCAGGGCTCCTCAAACCCTACCAGCTCTGGGGAGCAAGGGAAGAGGGGAAATGGGCTGTCTGATCTGGGAGTGAGATACTTCCTGATGTGTTATTTCATTTCCCATAAATAGCAATAAAGCCAAAACTGAAACTTGACAGTGGTTTCGTGGCAGAGGTGCTGCTGCAGGGTGCAGTGTCCTGCCCCTGCTGCAATTGGTGTCCACAGAACTGCTCCTAAGGATGTCAGGCACTCCAAAATTATCCCTTTGTGTGCTGTTTCCTGCCTGTGGGACTCTGCCACCTTTCTAATCTCCAGGAAACAGCCCTGCCAGGCCTGTAGTAAAGAACAGGAATCCATGGTGTGGTGGCCACAGCAGTTGGGATGAGTGACCCTTATTTTAGGTGATTTAAGGAAAAACAGAAAAAGCCCAGTTCATCTGAACATGAAATTCAGAACCTGCCACCAAGAGCAGTGTGTTCAGCACAACTTGATCCCAGCCACTGCCAGCCTGTCTCACTCCTGCTCGTGTTCTGGGAGTATTGGAATGTTTAAGAATCAGTGTAAATAGCTAGCAGTGGTGAATTTGAGCAGGATTATTTATTATAAACTGATGCCAGTGCTTTATGAGCTGCCAAGCCTCAGAAAACATAAAAAAGCAGTAACAGATGTGTTACTAAACTCGGCTTCTCTAAAATTTCCTTTCTAAATGCTGATGCTGGAACATGAAAAAATGTTTTTGAAATACAGACTTCTGACAACAAACAAACCTGAGCAGTCAGAGACATCAGTAGTGACAAGTGAACAGGATTTGTGTACTAAATAGCTCTTTGAGTAGGAAAGAAGGGCTGATTTTGTTTTTTTCTGTCAAAATTTTCTTGGAATTGGATTGTTTTATACCCCTTCAAGAAAAATAGCCCATTACTTTTTGGCATAGCTTTGTTAATGGTTGCAGTCCTAAACTGAAGATGCTTCTAGGGTTCATTTCAGACTCCTTTTTCGGTACACCCAGTTCAGAGTCCCTTTTCAGGGAGAGCTCAGATGAAGAGGATTGGAATTTGCTGCCCTTGGGAGCCTTCAGGGCAGTCTCCAGAGAGCTCCTGGGTGAGGCAGAGTCAGCCAGTTCCACAAAGAAACTCAAAATTCTGCAGAATAGTGGTGTTGATATTGGGGATAAATAAAGAGAAACCAAGGACTAAGAAATACGATGTCCATAGTCTTAAAAGGTTTGGGTCTGGAGTTCTAAGGGTTGGGAATCATCTGGAATGGGTTCTTGGTAGTTCCTGGCCATGGGATGAGTTCTTGTGAACAAGTCCTGCACAGTTAAATGGCCATGTGTTTCCCATCATGACTTACCTAAACAAAAAGTTTCAGAAAGATGAATACAAAATTTTCTTAAACGCATCAAGTCCTGGACTGTTTGTGCAGAGGGACCAGCAGCTCTGCTCTGTCCCTGTTTGTCCAGCGTTCCCAGGACAGGTTTCCCAGGCCCTTGCTCCACTCACCACTCTGCTGCTCGCCAGACTGGCTTGCTCCTGTCCAGCTTTGCATGATCTCCTGCCCGTGTGTTGAGTCAGGAGGAAGCATGGGGTGCATGGCAAAGCCTTCCACTGCCCACAGGGGTGCACGGCAGCTGTTCTGTCACACAGGGCCCAGAGCTAACACGAGTGGCTGCCGGTTCTGGTGAGGATGTGTTTTCTTTGCAGGCTTTTTAACTGGTCTCTGATTGCTACACATGTTTTGGGTTTGTTTGGTTTTTTTGGTTTTTTTTTTTTTTTTCCTGCTGAGTTTTATTAATATTGTTTTTCTTTTTTTCCCTTCTTTTGGTAAATTTCTTTAACCTCCCCCCACATTCTGCTCAACCATAGCCATGGAGGGTAAGCAGTGCGTGAGCGTGTGTGTACGTGCCCTATTCCAAAATGTCTTTGCATGTGACTTTGCCAAAAGACTGTTTTAACTTCTTGATTGCTGAAACTGATTCGAATCACAGCCTTTCCCTGCTGATTGAGGCAATTACAGTGTTCTTTTTCCTAAGGTATTTTCTGATCAATGTACTAGATTGAATCTCTGTAATAGCTGTTGGTGTCCACTTAATGAAATGCTACAAAATGGAATCACCGTGTACTGAATCCTGCACTCCTTCCTTAGAGAAAGTCTCATCAAAGCATTCCATAGTTTCCTCAGGGCAGTGGTTCAGGGGCTTGCAGTGAAACATTTCTGGAGCTGGGAGCAGGCCTGAGAGCCAGCAGTAACCCAGTGTAGGGAGCCTGAAGCATCATGAACCATCTCAGATCCAGGAGGAAATCAGGAATTTTTAAACTTTCTGTTCACATTGAGTTGTTGCTTGGGCATCCCGTTGTAGGGAATAGCTGCAGGAAGCTGGGATGCTTGGTAGTTTTACAGTTCCGAGATACTGAGGACCTTACAAAGTATGTTGGCAAAGTTTCTTTCATTTCAGACCTGGGATTAATTCAGTCTGTCTTGGATTGAACTCCAGACATATCTGACTTGTTGGAAGTTTTACTTGAGTAAAGACCACATGAGTTACAAGTTTTTTTGTGATCTCTTGGAAATCAACTGTCTAAAAGCATTCCATGTTTCCCTGGTGACACCATTTTTGTTAACCTGCTGTTAGATTTTTGCTAACAAAAGAATGATGTCATAGAATCATGGAATAGTTTGGCTTGGAAGGATGATCTCATTCCAGTTCTCTCTTTAATATATCAGTATGTTACTGTGTGCTCTGACATTATTTTGGAGCACAAAAAGCCCTTCTGGAACGGGGACCTGTTGCCCTCACAGTGGAATTTGAACCACTGAGACATGTTAAGTACTCAGTACTCTCATGCTTCAAATTATTTCCTTCCCTATTGACTGTTACACTGGAATTTCTTCAGGGAAACCCTGGTAAAAGTTGCCCAGTGTCATTTCAGAGATCAGGTTCAGTCAGAAGAACTAAAAGAAACTTCCTTCAGTCCCAGCGTGCTCGGCCAGCTCAGGGCAGCAGCGGGGCCGGGCAGGGCTGTGGGAACTCGGGGAGCCGGAGCCCTTCCCGGCTGGGAAGCGGCCGAGCCCCATCTGCTGGGGACGGCAGGTCCAGCAGCCCCTCTCTGCTTGCAGATTCAGCCGCAGGAGATCAGCCCTCCTCCCACGGCCAACCTGGACCGCTCCAATGACAAAGTCTACGAGAACGTCACGGGGCTGGTGAAGGCGGTGATAGAAATGTCCAGTAAAATCCAGCCGGCCCCGCCCGAGGAGTACGTGCCCATGGTGAAGGTACGGGGACAATGCCTAAAGTCAGGGTGCATTTCTACCCTGAATGAGGTCTTCAAGTGATGTAGGAGAAATTTTCTGGAAAGCTAGAAATAGAAAAGCTGTTTGTGTTCATGGGGTGGGTGACTTGTGGTCAGATGTTGGAACTTTGGATTCCATGCCCAGTATTGTGGACAGCACTGCTTCATGGCCAGCTTGCCTGTGCTTGTCCAGGGTCCTGAGTAGTGTGCTGTCTTCTCCACATTTTCACTTTTTATGAGAAAAACTTGTTCTTAAGCCTTTGGCATGTTGTTTTGATGGTGATAGACATGATTGCAGGTGGGATTTTGAAGTGCCTTAGGCACGTTCCAACTCTCTCCTTATCCAGATGAGCAATTAAATGTATCCACTGCCTCTTGCACTCCTAAAATTCTCTCACTCATTTCTTCCAGGTCTTTGAAGTTTGTTTCTTTAATCTCTTTTTCTTAGGAGGTTGGTTTGGCACTAAGAACTTTACTGGCAACAGTAGATGAGACCCTCCCAGTGCTCCCTGCAAGCACCCACAGAGAGGTAAGTGGAGCTTTGCTTACCTGGTGCTCAGCCACTGCCTTCCCAGTCAGCCTCAGCCCATTGGGACAGGTTTTGGTGCTCCCTTCTTGGCACAGGCACACCTTTTGGCTCCCTGAGCAGTCTGAACTCCTGGGTTATAATTCTGCATTAAATGAATTTCATTAAAATTGCTGCATGAATTTAGGCTTGGTATTAGTGAGGATTCTTAAACTGGATATAGGTGTCACCCATAGGAAGGTGACATAAACCCCAGTATTCCATAGCAGGGAATCAGTTGAGGGTTAATTCTTAGTGCAGATGCCACCTGTCATTTGCTTGCACACCAGGTCATTGAAGAGGTAATTGAGCAGAGCTTGGTACACCTGGAAGGCTGTCTGTAGTTCTGGATGAGGAGTGACTGAGAGCTTTCAATGAAGTTCATAATTAAAACAGTTTTCCTCCAAAACCTTGAATGAGTGTGGTACAATAGTTCTGTAAGTGCCATCTCAGAGGTTCATGCTGACTTAGCATGTGTGTGCTTAAGTAATCTCTATCTGCCTTCTTGTTTCATTTTTTAGAACTGCTTCTATGCTTTGGAGCTGCTTCAGTTATAAAAAGAGTAAAGCTAACAAGAACCTGAAAACCCATTACAGGCTGTTCATGCCAAGTTGTGGTTTAAAATCCACTACTTGGGTCTTGGTGCTGTTTAACAGTGGGTGGCTCAGCAGGTGCCAAATTCCATCTGCTGCTCCCTGGGGTGCCCTCAGAAACAGCCCAGCTCAAGCAGGGGCTGTGGCTCTGGGGCATTGCTGTGAGTGCAGTGTTTCAAACCCCCAGGGCTGACGGGGTTGTCTCGTTGCAGATTGAGATGGCACAGAAGCTGCTGAACTCGGACCTGGCCGAGCTCATCAACAAGATGAAGCTGGCCCAGCAGTACGTCATGACCAGCCTGCAGCAGGAGTACAAGAAGCAAATGCTGACGGCTGCTCACGCCCTGGCTGTGGATGCCAAAAACCTGCTGGATGTCATCGATCAAGCCAGACTGAAAATCAGCCAGTCCAGACCGCACTAAGCATGAGGGAGGAGCATCATCAGCCTCGGAGTTCTGCTTGCGACAGGATGTTCCTTCACCTTCCACCAGCAGTGAGGATTAACCCAGTGCAGTCCTGGCCTTCCAGCGCCTCTGGCTTCAGCAGACCTGACCGAGCCCTCGGGTTCTCTCATTGCAACAGTTTAACCAAGTCCCTCTGGTAGAGCCGAGCTGGGATTCAGGCAGGGCATTATCAGCAGATGAGGTTTGTACAGGAGCCCTCGGGCGCTCAGAGCTGGGGCACAGGGCAGGTCACTCCATCGCATGGGACACGCTTCGCACTGAGCTGCCACCATTGAGCTGCCACCGGGGCACGGTCTCGGAGCCAAAACTGTTGGAGCAGCAGATGGGAGAAAGATATTGTGAAGTGAAGAATTCGGGGAAACCTCAGGGCTGAGAATTCTTGCCCACAGTATATGAACTATCCAGACTGGAATTTTTTTTATTAGAACACTTACGTCGCAATATGCTAATCACGATTTACAGAGAAAGAATAAAAAGCTATATTTTCAAGACTTCAGTCATTTCAAGACAAACTAAAGCCCTCTTCATCTTCCTGCCTTTTACTTTTACGTGACTGTGTGAAGCATTTGTTTGGAAATAGCTGTAGGACACAACTGAACACTCGTCTTTTTCACCAGGATAACGTGCCAGTTCTTTTGTAGCAATGTTGTTTTCCTTGGAAGTGAAAATGCTGCTTTGTACCAGAGCAATTCAGAGCTGCATTTAGAGAAGATCTGTAACCATTCATGTCCCCCATTTTTATATAATTTATAAAGACAGATTAAAGCCATGATGACTATTTTAAACCCACTGTAGTTAACTAACCCATCCTTTTGTCTATCTTGCCTGGGAGGAGTTACAGTAGAGAATGTAATTAGATTTTCCTTGGTTTTCCAGTTATGCCATCTGTTCTGTTAAAATAAAAACCACACTCCCTTTTTGCTGTTGAGGGATATAAATTATTCTCAGGAAGAATATAATGAACTGTACAGTTACTTTGACCTATTAAAAAGGTGTTACCAGTGAAACTCTGACTCTTTATTTCATGTGTGTGCACTGCAAAAGAATTCTTCCCTGGGTACTTTTGTCTTCTTAAATATAAATGAGTTGATAATACAAATACCATCCTATCATAAAGTTGTTATAGAAATGTAAAAGGTGGGACAGTGCAGAGTCCATCAGTGTTTGTGGAACAATCCCACTCTGCATCTTTGGGACACCCTCTTCTACACCTGGAATTCTTCAATGCCTCAAATGTTTTGGAATACCCACTTGGAACACAGCCCTTACCTTGTTCAACTGCTCTGGAAAAGTCCTGTTCAGAAGTTATTTATGAAATTCGTGCCTTTTAAGGAGCTCTTTTCCAGTGCAGTGTTACATCACCCCCACATCAGTTTTCTGGCCAGGTAAATACGTGATGTGCCTTACACAACCTCAGCCCTTCACCTGAGAACTGCAGCCTTTTGCCCCTGTGAAAAACCTCTGGTGTTGCTGTGCCAGCCCCCCCTGCACAGGTGCCATGGGAGCTGCACTGCTGCTGTAACCAGAGGTGTCACAGCACCAGAGGCTGCAGCAGCAGCCCAGCCTCAGCCCTTCTGGACCCCTTGCTGCAGCCCCAGGCTGTCACCACACCCCCTGCTCACTGGGATTTCATTCCTTCCTCTGTCCAGAGGCTCTGGGTGCCTTTTAGAGCTTTAACTGTTCTTGTGAAACACCCAAAAACTGACAGGGGAAGTCGTAAAGCCCCAGCTGAGCACTCATGACAGCAGTTTCAGGAGCTGCAGGTAACTTGGTCATCCTCCACCCTTCACAAACATCCACCTGAGAGACACAAGTACAAGCACATGTTCTTTATTACAGGCTGGTACAAAACTAATTAGTCAAAAAGACCAAAGCCCATATCATCATCGGATTCCTCTGATTCTTCCTTCTTTTCCTCTTCTTTCTTCTCTTCAGCTGGAAAAGAAATGACACAGGATTTACCAATTTACCAGCTCATAGAAGTCAAGTTGTCACAAAAGGTGTCACATGCAATGACTAACATCAAGCATGAGTCCCTGAGCAGTCCTAACAACCTAAGCCAGCAGCCCAAGAATAGTGTTTGTACTATTAGCAAAGCGGTTTTGTGACTTCAGAATTCATTTCTATCAAACCCGAAAAACTTTACGAGGAGATGCTGATGCTCTGTATGATCCTGATGACACACAGGAAAAGCAGTTTTAATTCTGAGGGAACACTGCTCCTGCACACTGACTTAATGTGCAACGCCAGCCTTTCTCAAGGGGAGGGCGTGCTTTGCTCAGGAACACTCACACACACTGCACGGCAGCAACCACATGCAAACAGCTCCTGAAACCTGGGCTTGCAAAGCTGCGGCTGCCCCATCCCTGGAAGTGCTGGATGGGGCTCTGAACAGCCCAGTCTGGAGCACGGTGTCCCTGCCCACGGCAGGAGATTGGAAAGAGAAGGCTTTAAAACCCTCCCGACTCAAGTCATTCCACGGATCCACGTTCCCGCGCCTCGCTCGGACACGGCCGCCACTTACCGGGGGCGGCTCCGCCGGCGGGCGCGGCGCCACCCGCGGGAGCGGCGGCAGCCGGAGCCCCTCCACCGCCCGCTCCCACGTTACAGATCAGGCTCCCGATGTCAATGTTCGCCAGCGCCTGCGGAGAACGACAAGCGGCAGCGAAGCCTCGTTAACACGGGCGGAGGTGCGCTGGGGAGCCCCACACGCCGCCCCTGCCCGGCCCGCGGCCCCTCTCGCGCACCTTGGCGAAAAGCCCCGGCCAGAAAGGCTCCACGTTCACTCCGGCTGCCTTGATGAGCGCGTTGATCTTGTCCTCCTGCAACGAAACAGCGGCGCTCAGAGCCCGCCCGGCGCGGCCCCTCAGGCGGCCATGCCGCGCGGCCGCCGCCATCTTGTGCGGCCGCACTCACCGTCACGGTGACCTCGTCGTCGTGCAGGATGAGGGCGGAGTAGATGCAGGCGAGCTCGGAGACGGAGGCCATGGCGGGGCGCGGTGCTGGTCGCCGGGTGGTTCGGCCTTAGCTTCGTACGAAGGACTCAGCACCTTGGGCCGCCGCGGAGCGAAAGGGGCCGGGCACCGTGGCGCGGATTTATAAGGCGGTGCGCGTCACGTCACTCGTGACGTCACCCCGTGACCCACCGCGCATGGCAGGTGCCGCGCGCCCTTCCTCCGTGTTTCCTGCGCCGTCCCTCACGGCCCTCACGGGGAATAATTCACCCCTAAAACGGAGAGCATTGCTGGGCGCCGGGTCCGGCCCTCCCCCGGCCCTGCCAGCCCCAGCCGTGCCCCCGAGTGCCACATCCCCACGGCTTTTGTATCCCTGCAGGGATGCGGACTCCACCGCTGCCTTGTGTGAGGCCGTTTTTCCAGGATCCGACCTAAACCTCCCTGGCGCACTTTGAGGGACTCAAGCCCTCCTCCCCCACAACCACTTCAGATATCACTGCCTCGCTAAAACATTCCATTTTCTGTATTTAAAAAGCAGAAAAGGTGCAGAATAAGCCCTTGGTAGGAATTGTGTATTGTGATTTTTTCCACCCGAACATGAGTAAGAAGTTCTTTGCTATGCAGTGACCAAGCACTGAACAGATTGGCCAGGGAGGGTGTGGAGTGCCCCTCTGAAATACCAAGCTGTGTTTCGTGTCAGGTACATGCAGGCAATGTGTGTATTTATGTCTGTAATATGTGTGGAAACCGACCATGGGACAGTTATAAAGAGGAATTCTAATAAATAACTGAGAAAGTAAAGCATGGAAGAAGGCCTTTGAACCTGTCCTTTGTTTGCAATTAACCTTTATAAGTCTTAAGTTGATTTACAGTTGAATTAAAGCTTTAAGGATGTTGCTGTTTGACAGGAACTTTCTGCTTGTAGCTAAACCTTAAAAAGTTTTGCAATAATAACCTTTTGAAGTATAATTTTAGAATATTGCTTGTAGTAAGGACCTCTGAATCTATAGCTTTAGAATATATAGAAAGGAAACATGCTTATCTCGACACCTTAACAAAACAGTGAAAAGCAGCTTGAGAAAGGAAGATGAACGTCAACTCAAGGATTGATAGTTTCGACCAAGGGAAGCTGGACATCACTGTTATGAGATTTATAGTCCTTGCAATTAAAAGGTGGACCCACATCTGGAATCTGGACCTCACCAGCTGGGAGGGTTCTTTCTTCTTTCGGAAGCCAGACACCACCATCTGGGGATACTCCTTTCTGGGATACATCCTGAGAAAAACTAAATCACAATAGTGTATAGAATTGTGGCGTAAAAGTTGGGAATACAAACTGCTGAGAAAGCTTATGAGTACCCCTGTAAATATCTGTAAGCCTCAACTATCAGTGTGCAGTTGGAGGGAAAACTTCCCCCAGTGTACCCAGCGCTGTATTGCTCATACTTTATCATATTAATTTATAAATTGATTGCTGCTTGAATATTGGCCTAGTCAAGCTTCTCATTTATAACACCTCCCTGGAGATATTCCAGCACTGTCTGCACACAGTCCTGTGCCTGTGCTCTGGGATGGCCCTGCTGGAGCAGGGAGGTGGCACCAGGTGACCCCGCTGTGGTCCCTTCCAGCCTCACCTGTTCTGTGGTTCTGGGATTCTGATGAGCCTGAGCAAATTCCAGAGTTTTGCTCCAAAGCATCATCGGATTGTGAAAAAAGAATGTTCTCTGGGTTTTTGTCTTCTTGACAGATATGCATCTGATGAGCCTCACCTCGGTGGCTGGGCAGAGCATGGAAGGGATTTCCTAGAAGCTGTGCTGTGCACTCCTGGAGGACAGGGAGGTGATTTGGGACAGCCACAGCTCCATCAAGCTCAAGTCCTGCTTGATCAACCTTCTATGATGGAGTGGCCACATGGAGTGGAAAAGGGAAGGTCTATGGATGTCACCTGTCTGGGCTTCTATAAAGCCTTCAACACAGTCCCACACAAATCCTTCTGTCTAATTGGAGAGAGATGGATTTTATGGATGGGCAGTTTGGTGGATAAGGAATTGGGTGGATGGTCACATCCACAGTGCTGGATTGACTCAGTGTCCAGGTGGAGATCAGTGATGTGTCCCTCAGGTCTGTTTGGCACCATTGTGATTTAAAGTCTTCATCAAAGACACAAACAGGGGGATCAGGTGCACCCTCAGCAGATTTGCAGGTAAATCCAAGCTGGGTGCTGTGGCTGACATGTCTGAGGGATGGGATTCCATCCAGGCTCTGAACAACCTGATCCAGGTGAAGATATTCCTGTGCACTGCAGTGGGGCTGGGCTATCTCACCTTCAAAGGTCCCTTCCAACCCAAACCAAATAAGATAAACTAATTAAGCTTAAACAAACTTATTCAAAAATTTGCAAAAAGCTTGAAATTTTAGAATCCTAAAATGACAGCTTTGTATTACCAGCAAAGTGTATCCAACAGCTTGCTTTTGTAGTGCTCCTTTATAGAAATCTCAGGATTTATTAGACCATTACAAGTGAAAACTGCGATAGGCAAGAGGGACTTTACCTCTTGCAACTGTCCTTTCCTAAGGATCAGAAACAACTGAAAATTTCACTAAACAAAGATCTAACACTACTCACTGCTGGAGATAATAAATGCACAGTGATGCATTAATTAGTGGGTGTTCATCCCTGTTAGTGGGGTCAACAGCTCTGAATTTAAGCATTTACTTAAACTTCCTATCCAAGGCACAGGACAATTGTCTACATTTTTATACCTAACTCAAAGCAGCAAATAAATGCACCTTTCCAGTGGGATTGAATATCCAGGAACCTCTGCCATTGCTGGGTGCTTGAGGACGGGATTTCACAGGGACTTGTGTGAGCCTGCCTTGTCTGTCCCTCACTCCAGGGCTGCCAAGGTTTCCTGTGCAAAAGCCCTCAGAGCTGTCCCAGTGGTCCATGAGATGATGATCTGACTGAAAAGTAGCAGCAGAGAAATAAGATTCCTTTTCAATCAAATAAACTTGCAAAAGTTGCTGGCCTGGGAGATGAGCACTG